ACAGCATGAGGCCAGTAGTTCGAGACCAGCCTGGGCAACCTAGGGAGACCCCCCCATCTCTACGAAAAATTTAAAAATTAACTGGGCATTGTAATGCATGCCTCCAGTCCCAGCTACTTCCAGACTAAGATGGGAGGATCATTTGAGCCCAGGAGTTCAAGATTACAGTGAGCTATGATCACATCACTGCACTCCAGCCTGGCTGACAGAGCAAGACCTAGTCTTGCGGGGGGAAAAAGATACTTCTTAAGCAATCCTCTTAAAATGGCTGTATGTGTGAGATATTTAGTAAACAAAACTTTTTTGCAAATGATTTGAAAGTGCTTAATAAAATATGCAGTATTTTATTTTTAATTAAGTTAAATTAACCTTTCACTAGAGCTTTATGGCATTTAAAATTTTTTCAGTTTGTTCATTTTTTTGACATCCTTTAAAAAAGGCAAAATAAACTGGTTTTAAGAAATATATTCACTTTGAAAGAATATATTTAGTCCCTTTTTATTTAAATCATAGATATTTCAGCATTGGAGAATATTATTATTTTTAATAATATTATTATTTTACTATTTAAATATTACTGGGCAACTAAATTTATGTTAGGCTGTACATGTATAGGGTAAATTAATTTAGGACAGGAGTTATCTGCCTAACTGGAATATGGAAGCCTTTCTTCTTGTCGCTGAGACAAATATAATCATAAACTTTTAAATATAAAGTATGTGTTATAGTTTGGGAAATTGTATCTAAAGAACAAAGATAAGCATAAATCAGTAGTGTTGGGTTCAAGGAAGCTAGAAAGCAAGTGTTTCAATTACATTTATGTGCAAATATGTATAAATTGTAACTTTTATAACTTAGCACAGTTATTATCACTGTATTGTATTTTAACTCTTTTCTTTATAAAGACTGTCTATTGAGAAAGCTGGGCATAATGCAAAGTATTTAGTATTTTTCGTGTTGGTCAGACCTCATTTTGAGTCCTGGCACAGTTACTAGGTTTTGTTTTGTTTACATTGAACAAATTATCTAATTTCCTTGAGTGTTTTCTCATCTGTAAAATAGGGGTAATAAATTGATATGAAGATTGATTATTATGTATTAAAAGCATCAAATTTAGTGCTAAATATTTAGTAGTCTTTCAGTATAGGATCACTATAATTACTGTATGAGAATCATTTGACTAGAATTTAATGGGTGCAATAGTCTGAGAGGTTTTTTACAAATATGTAAGGAGGTAAGGTGTTTAATAGAATTTTGTGTTGTTCTGTTTTTAATCAAATTCTGCAAATATAAATTTGTGCCAGGCTCACTGCTGGTATGGGTAGAAGGTGTACAAGTGTAATACTAAGATGAAAAATGTAACACCTTGAGGAAGGAACTTTTGATCTTAGCTTGTAACTGGCTTTCGTTTCCCTTGTTTGATCCAAAAGCAGTCCTAGGAATGGTGAGAAGCTGTGTCGCCAGTTTACAGATAAAACTTGGACTCATGGAGGTTAAGTGACTTTGCTAAAACCTCATAATGAATGGTAGAGGTGAGATTTGGAGCCACAAACCTGAGTTTGTTCCTTCAGCAACTATAAATTCAGTAAATACTGTGTTCCAGGCATTCTTCTTAAGTTTAGTATAATACTCTTCTCTAAAATCCCAGTTTGTGTTCATTAAACTTTTAACTCAGTCTCTAAATGTCTTGTTGTTCATGAAACAGTGGTATTATGAAATTAGTGGATTCTTGAAAAGTTGTTTATCAAGTTTTTTGAAATGTCTGATTTAGGGAATTCTGTAGTATTTTAAAACAAAATGGACATTTATTATAAATAAAAATAATCCTCTAAATTATTGGTTTAGTGAATGTTATTTTATGAATAGTTTGTTTCTTAAAGAATGGAATACCCATAGAGATAGCTAACAGCTATGATCATTTACACAAATAGAGTGGAAGGTTCTGTTTTGGAGAGATGAATCCAATTGACATTTAAAAGTCTCTTTCTTTTATTTAAGACTTAAATATAATTCATTTAAATGATGATTTCTTTGGGGTGTTATAAAATATATTTTCATCTTTAAGCACATATTAGAAGTTTTAAAATTAAAGAAAATCCTTTAATTATATTAAATTATTTAAAATGCAGATTTTTAAGATTTATATCTTCAGTGAAGTACCCTTTCTTCACTCTGCTAATAATAAGGAATGTGTATATAGAGGGCTCATAGTATATTTGAAAACATAAGGTGATTGGTAATGAATAATCTTCAATGTTAAGAGAAAGGTGGGGTATAAGTGTAATAATAGCAAGCATTAGCAAATTGTCACCTTTCTCCAGAAGTAAGGTGTGGTGATAACAATTTTGACCTAATTTCTCTAGTCACAACCCTGGCATACTATATCACATCCAGTCAGTCTCCTAGAGGCTAGAGATAATTCAATGAATTTTGAATTTAAATTAGGAAATGTGTTTCTTCTTTTTTTAATATTAATTTTTTTAACTAATTAACTTTCTTATTGAAGAAACCAGAGGAAGGGTTCAACTACTAAAAAATGAGTATGATTTGGAAAGTCCATAAAATCAGTCTTTCTGGGGATAAAGTAGGTTAAAAGTTGTGAATAATACCTGGCTTAAGTGTTAGTAGGGAGCTTATATAGGACCCTCTTTACATGGCAGGGTGGTCCTGTTTGTGACTAAGGAGCATTACAGTGTGGAACCTGCTGCCAAGATTTCAAATGACGTGGCAGTACCCCATGACCCAGCAATGACAATTCAAGATAGTATTCTATGGAAATAATAGGAAAAGCATGCAAAAAGTATGATTCATGATCATAGAATACTGAAAATAAGTAAAATACCAGTGGTAGATTGATAAATAAATTCTGGTTCATAACTATAATGGAATAATGTGTAGGTGTTAAATACATTGTAGAAGAGAAAATGTTTAACATTTCACCGTGTGAAAGAAACTAGCGGCTGCGCGCAGTGGCTGACACCTGTAATCCTAGCACTCTGGGAGGCCGAGGAGGGAGAACTGCTTGAGCGCAGGAGTTTGAGACCAGCCTGAGCAAGAACGAGATTCTGTTTCTACTAAAAATAGAAAAAATTAGCTGGTGTGGTGGTGTGCGCCTGTAGTCCCAGCTACTCAGGAGGCTGAGGCAGGAGGATTGCTTGAGACCAGGAGTTTGATGTTGCAATTAGCTGGGGCAACAGAGTGAGACTCTGTATCAAACCAAAAAAAAAGAAAGAAAGAAACTAGCAGTCCGGGTGTTGCTGGCCTGTGTGCTCTGAGGGAGGGCCCAAGCCACCATAGGAGCCTCATGGGCCGTGGTAAGCATTAACAGTCTTTCATCTCTGAATGGATCTACAAAGGCTTCAGCAGTGTGCTTGCCAAGAAATCTGGAAAGCTTGTATTCTTGGGTTTGGATATGCAGGCAAAACCACTCTTTACATGCTCAAAGATGACAGATTGGGCCAACACGTTCCAACATTGCATTTGACACAGAAGAACTAACAATTGCTAGAATGACTTTTACAGCTTTTGATCTTGGTGGGCATGAGTAAGCACATCGGGGTTGGAAAAATTATCTCCCAGCAATTAAGGGGCTTGCCTTTCTGGTGGACTGTTTCTTCTGAGTGTGTCACAGTTCTTTCTGCATGGGCCCTGATGGCTTATTGCTCTCCCACCTGGAGCACATCTGCTCATAACAGTCAGCAGTATTGAGGCCATTGTAGCTTTTGTAGACATTACGTCTTCTGTCTTCAATTATTTTCTCCTTAAGTTTGGCTTATACCGTATGTGTTATAGTTTGGGAAATTGTATCTAAAGAACTGAAAATGTGATCAAAACTCATTGTTAAACTTGAGAAAATATTAATGCATGCTTGCATTGCTTCGAAATGTAGGATTGAATCTTATGTTTTATGATATAAACCAGGACTTTACAAAGGTGAAACTTTATTGATAAGAAAATAGCTCAATTTGTTCTTTAGATATTGACAAATTATAGGGAGAGTATAGATCCCTTATACAAGCGACATTTGTATGTGTCTATTATAAGGAGCCACATTAGGTAGTGGTTAAGAGTCTGTAGCTGGAACTTCTGGGTTCTAGTCCTGATTCCACAATTTGTCAGCAGCATGACCTTAGAAAAATAATTTCTCTTTAAGTGTTCAGAGAATAATAAAAGTTAATAATGCCTCTTTATAGGATTAAATGAGTTTATACATACATAGCACTTAAAGCAGTGTCTGCCTCATTGTAAATATTCAGTGTTAGCATATTATTATCAGGTTCAATATTTTATATTTTTATCTTTTAAGAGTCTTTATTTACCTGTTCTTAAAAATAAGGTGTTTATTATTGAAAGTCATGTGAGCTATCATTTATTTGAAGTTGGTGAATTATGTTTTCTACAAAATTAACAATTTTAAAATAAGCTGTTCTCAAGATTTTAATATTTCATCTGGAAAACACATTTGTAATATTTAAGATTGATGTAGTTAACATTTAATTGAATTCATTCTTACTATGCTTAAGTAGTTAGTGAGTTCTATGTATGTAATGTCCAATAAGACCAATATGATGCATATATACGTATTACTGAGATGATAATCACAAAAGGCTACAGATTGAACTAAAAAGGATAAGTATTCTATGCTAGCCCAACAGAAGAGACCATCTTGAAATGTGTGACTCCAAATACTATCTTTTTCTTTTTTATTCTACTATGTTTCAAATGATATGACAGCTCAGGTAAAAATCACAATTACTGAGATAAAATCATTAATTCTGGCCAAAAATTTAATAGGAGATAAAATCATTCATATTTCATTGAGGTTATTCTTATATATAATGTCTGGTATATAAATAGTTATGGGATGTTGAATACATCTCAGTTATAGAAAAATAAATACAACAAAAAAATTATTTTGATCTAGACTTATTCTTATCTCTTTGGGGCCCCAAAGACTGATTTACTTAAAATAGTTTTTAATTTTTCTTATCTGTTTTAAGGCCACAGAAAGTGAGGCTGGTGATATGGACCTGAGTGGGTTGCCAGAAACGGCAGTGGATTCCGAGGACGATGACGACGAAGAAGATATTGAGAGGGCGTCAGATCCTCTGATGAGTAGGGACATCGTGAGAGACTGCCTGGAGAAGGACCCAATCGACCGGACAGATGATGATATTGGTAAGTTTGCATGAGAAAATGAATCTAGGAGTAATTAAAAACATTTAGAGGTAAAATTATCTGTTACAATAGAGCCCAAGACTGGTAGGCTTTAAAAAGTCATTGATTTATTAAATTCCTTAGCATAAACAGTAGTATTTATTGAACAAAAAATGGAAAAAGTCAATTTTCTTCAGTCAGTACCTTCAAGAGCCTACAAATAATATTGCGAATGAAACGTCCCAGGAAATCCCTTCCACATAACCCCTTTCTTAGTTTGTGACCAAAAAAAAAAGTTAAAAGCAGTCTTCCAAGCAATATTACCTGTGTTAATTTTTCTCGTGAGCACTATTCCTATCAAGGTCATGTTTTCTGTATGTAAACATTAGTCAAGTGGTGGCTAAAGTTGTCACGTAGATGAATTTGCTTCTACACTGGTTCCGTATAAAGATGAGACTGGGTGGAAGAAGGCAGCAAAATGTCAGGTTAGCTGTGGGGGGTGTGCACCCTGAGATTAAAAATTCAAGTGGCTTTATATCCACTTTTCCATCACAGCAGGAGTTGATTTCATAATAATGGTTTTGTGTTTGAGTACGCCTCCCAGACTCAGGCTTCTTCCCTTGTATCCTTGGAGTGAGGACTACTTCTGTTGAGAGTCATTTCCCCACCATGGTCCAGAATCCATGACCCACGCATGCCCGAGCCCAGTTATCTATTCTACCACTCCCCCAACTCTTTGGGCCAATATGAATTTGAAGAGAAATTCAGTGAATTGAGTCTGTTGGGATTAGGTATAGGATGGTAGGAGTGTGTGAGTGGCTTGTAGAATATGTTTGAGTGAGACAAACATGTATGAGGAAAAACTTTATTTAGGCTATATACATAGGCTAGGAAATTAAAGATCAAAAACCAAAACCTTGGTTGGATTAGATACTTAAAATTTAATCATTGTAGGAATTACTCACTATATATATGTGAATATCATGTGATGGTAATTATTCATTCAGCAACCGTGGTTGAGCATCTTCAATGTACTGGGCATTCTTCTAGGTCCTGGCAGCTCAGTGGTGAACAAGGCAGCCGAGGTCCTTGCTCTATTAATAATCTGTTTGGGAGACACATGATTAGCAAGTGAACAAGTAAAATACATTGCTGGTGGTGAGTGCAATGAAGAAGATTAAAGATTAAAGTGGGGGCCAGGGTGATGGAAGCAGAGATACTGCCTGAGTGGAATGGTTCTCAGTTTTACCCCCCGAACACTTAGGGTTGCATTCCCTGTATCTGATACCACGCGTTCATCTGACTTAGAGTGTCCAAAACTGAGTTTCACTCTCCCCCTCCTTGTTTGCTCTCTTGGGTCTGATATCACATGTTCTTCTGATTTTAATTGTCTAAAAATTAGGTTTACTTTCTTGTTCTGTGTCCTCACCAGCTTCTTTTTTTTAATCCCTTAATTGCAGTTTTAAAGAAAAAATTAAATTGTGTGTTCAATTTACCATTTCAACCTAGAATCCTTGCTCATAGGGTTTTTTAAAATTACATAGAATCTTGCTTTTGTATCTCTTCATTTTAAAGTAGTTGTAGAAGAAAATGCTGATTACTTTATATTAAAATATGTGTAGCATGTATGTCATTCCTGGAGATTTAAGACTTTCCACTGATATCTGAGAAGAACGTCTCTCCCAAAAGTTCTAGAAAGCAGGAACTGCGCTAATTCCTACAAATAAGTACAAAGCTGACTTTAAAAAATGTGCCTGTCAGTATAATCTCTACAATAAATAACATCTATTTGAATACCAGTATACTTTCAAGCAGTGACTATTCCGATGCTTGCTGCTATCAAATATACATTTATTTAAAGTAATAAATCACTAACATTAAAGAGAGGGCCTAAAGGGTGTTGTTTGGTCTATGTGAGATCTTGAAAGACCTTTTATTCTGTCTCCCTCAAAATAAAACCAACTTTGAGAACTCTTTAGCTGGTACTCTTGTTAAATCTAACTCATCTTCAGCGTTTGGTTAAAACAGATACCTTTTATATGAACTACAAACATCTGTAAGATTAATGCTTGCTCTAGATGCTTCTCTGCCCACCCACCTTCCTCTATCCCCGCCAGAAAGGGAGAGATGGGGTGTGTGTGCATGAGCGTTTAAGTTGGATTAAATGCAATTGCTAATATTTTATCATATTTTTACCAGCTACAGGAAGAAAAAAATTTCCCTTTGGGTTCCCATAGATTCTTAGGTATACATTCTCAATACTCTAAAGGGAGGGACTTCATTATATTCATTTTTGCTCTAGAACTCATAACTTTTTAGTTAATTATTGAATGTTTGTGAATTTTATTTATTTATTTATTTTTACCCAGAGCCACACCCAAGAAGTCTTGAGCAAGTGGACTGTGTGAATTTTATCTTTTTCTTTGAGCACTTGACACATTAGGGAGCTATCTTGCTCTCTTTTAAACAACCCGAGATTTTTTTTCAATCTTAATATTAAGCATTGCTCGTATAAAATTGAGTCAAGCACACCCAAAGTATGGTAATTTTCTGAATTGGCTTTAGCTTTTGGTGTTGGCGAGTTGATTATTTGTGTTTTCTTTGGGTCACATTGACTAGGGAAACCTTTTTTTTTTAAAGATTAATATTTTTCATAAACAGATGTCCTTTTCCTAACAAAACAGAATAGGTCATAATAGTGTATGATTCTAATAGAAGAGTGTATATTTCTAGTGGGATTGTTCTAAGAAATATAAAAGAAAGTAGACTTGCTTCTCCCATCCATGGTTACTGCATTCTGTGTGTCCTAGGAACTGTGCTAGTACCCATCCCAAGCTCTAAATTCTTGGCTACTCCAATCCCTCTAACTCTGTAGCATTGTAACCTGTAACCTGTGGCATTATCAGGGTTTGTTTTGAGCCTCCTATAGACGCATGCTTCTTTTTTATAAATTTTTTTTAAAGATTGGTGATAGAAAAGTTCTTTGTTTTTAAAATTGCTCCAGTCCTCTAGTATAATATAGTGTAGAAGTTATCACAAAACCAATGATACCATTATTGAATCCTTAAGAATCTTAAAAACTCTTAGATGCCATCTGGTTAAGCATCTGTATATTTTTGGTTTTTCAACTGAGCCTAGAGAATCATGTATACCAACTATTATTAGATCTTTTCTGTCTCCTTTATCCCTACAATATGTGATACACAGATATTTTCTATCCTGTTGTATTTTTTTAATGCTGGTCACTACTCCTATATCACAAATTGATTTCATGACCCACTAATACAGTAGGAATCTGCCAAAAAGCAAGAAACGTGTCTATACAAGACACTTTAAAATCATCATAGCAAATATTTGTGAAGATATTTTATAATTTTTGCCCACTTTATCTTCTTCAATCATATGTGTAATCTTTTGGCTTCCATTTGACTTCTCTTATTGTCTAAACACACATTAAATTCAAAATACTTTTTTTTTTTTCTTCTTTTTTTTTTGAGACAGGGTCTTGCTCTTTCACTCAGGCTGGAGTGTAGTGGTGTCATCATAGCTCACTGCAACCTCCAACTCCTGGGCTCAAGCGGTCCTCCTGCCTCAGCCTCTCTAGTAGCTGGAACTACAGGCACACACCACCACACCTGGCTAATTTTTCTATTTTTTTGTAGAGATGGGGTCCCAGTCTAGATCAGGCTGATCTTGAACTCCTGGCTTCAAGCAGTCCTCACACCGTGGCCTCCCAAAGTGCTAGGATTGCAGGTGTGAGCCACGGCGCCTAGCCAAATTCAAAATATATCTGATAATTTCAGGTCTCACATTTTTCTTAAACCCATGAATTTTTGCTTGTCCAAAGTAACCTGTGGTCTGTAGGTAATACTGTAATACCTTATGGTAAGGGGTGAGGGATTGTGACTGAAGAAAACTGAGGCTGGACACAGCAGAACTGTGATGTGCTAGTTAGAGGACCATGACTTCTTCATTTGCCTTAATGATTCAAATCAGCACATTTGTAAAACAATAATTCCTGCCTCACCTATGTGATAGGTGTGGGTCCTCTCTTGCAATAGTATTCAGAATTGCTTCAACTGCTGTACCAAGGAATAAATATATTTTATGGAATGGCACAGGCACGCCTACTCATTCCAGAAATAAGTGTCACTAAATAGAACTTACTCTTTCTATAAGTGATGGGCCTTGATATTTTATCTTCTTTTTAAAAAATGTTAGTTGCAAAAGTAAATTGATTTCCTGACACATAAATCTGGGTCAGATTGAAGAACATTGTCCTGTTAGACTCTTTGGGTACCACTTACCATTGTTATTCTCCTTATTACCAGAGCCGCTCTGTGTAATGAAAAGTCTTTTACAAGAGGGATGACATAGTCTAATCAGAACATGGTGTTACCTAGCTGAACCAGAGAAAACCACCTGATCTGTCCTTCTAGTAATGTTTTCACAGAATATATCCTTCTGTTGTACTTTGTTTTAGCAATTAGCAAACTATATCCAATAACATAAAATTTGTCATTAGATCTTAACAGATACATAGGGCCAGTTTGATTATGTGGAGACAGGAAAAATGCAGTAGAATTTTTATTTAGCTGAAAGGTTGAATAATGATATCCTGACTATAATAATAATGACAGTAGTTCTAATTTATTATTTACTTTGTGCCAAGGACTTCGTCATTTTTATTGCATTTGATTCTCACAGCTACCCAGAAAGGTAGATATTATATTATTTTTTTGCAAATGTGAAAACCATGCCTTAAGGCAACTAATCAACTTGCCCAAAGTAATATAACTAGTAAGTGGTTCAAATGTCTGACATACACCTTGTGCTCTTCAATATGAGCTTTGGAGGCAAAGGGTCCTGAGTCATGTCACTGCCCCATCTTGACTCTATGACTCTGAGCCTCAGTTTCCTCCCTACAAAATGAAAAAGAACACATGCACTTCATATAGCCATGGTGAGGAGTAAGGAAAGAATTTAGTAGGCAATTGGTAAAACTACCTAATAATGGGGAAACACAGGACTATTAGTAATGGAGCAGACACAACTTGAAGAGACTGTGAAGTCTTCCCTCTTGTCAGTAGCTGGAACCATCCATACCAAAGTGTAAGCGGTTTGTCTCTCCACAGCATCGCCAATAGGAAAAATGATCAAACTTTTTTTTTTTTTTTTTTTGCCAAACTGTGGGATAAGAAATGGTATATTAGATTTCATTTACATTTATCATATCATGTTATAAATTTTAATTTTTAATTTTTTAATTGACAATAATTGTATATATTTATGGGGTAGATAGTGATGTTTTGATACATATAATGTAAAATGATCAGATCAGGGTAATCCATCATCTCAAACATTATTTCTTTGTGTTGGGAACACTTGGTATCCTCCTAGCTATTTGAAACTATACACACACACACACGTTTATAGTATTTTTTTTTTTTTTTTTTTTTTTGAGACAGAGTCTCGCTTTGTTGCCCAGGCTAAAGTGCTGTGGCGTCAGCCTAGCTCACAGCAACCTCTTTTTCTTTCTTTTTTTTGAGACAGGGTCTTGCTCTTTTACCCAAGCTGGAGTGCAGTGGTGTCATCATAGCTCACTGAAACCTCTAACTCCTGGGTTCAAGCAATCCTTCTGCCTCAGCCTCCCAAGTAGCTGGGACTACAGGCGTGCGCCACCACGCCCAGCTAATTTTTCTATTTTTAGTAGAGATAGATCTCACTCTTGCTCAGGCTGGTCTCCAACTCCTGATCTCAAGCGATCCTCCTGCCATAGCCTCCAAGAGTTGCTAGTATTATAGGCATGAGCCGAGTGAAACTGCGTAATATATAATTGTTAACCATAGTCATTCTACAGTGCTAGTAGAATTTTTTAATCGATTAATTTTTGTGAATTTTTCTTATTCATGGAAAATATCCCTTAGAATACTTTTGAATTAAAGGTAGTTACTTGTGATGTTTTAGGCATTCACCTGCCCAAGAGACACTGGAATGGTCCTACTGACTTATGGGAATATTCTCAGAGCTCCATTTCATTTTTGCTCTTAATAAGATCACAGCTCATTTTCAACTGAAATTTCTCATTTGAGGTTTAGTACTTTCTTCGGTGCAGTTAGAATTTGAATGATGATGTAAACTGACAGTTAGTTGCCTCTGAATCAACTGTCATCTCCATGGTGACAGAATTCTTTGTATATATACCTGCAAGAAATTCAACTCGTCCTGATGATACTTCAGTATATTTCGCAATAGGCAAAATTGTAGGGCTAAAAGAACGATTTTCTTTTTGAATACTTGTTTTTAATAAAAGTTATGGTTTGACTAAAAGTATCTCTTGCTTTTCAGAGCAACTCTTGGAATTTATGCACCAGTTGCCTGCTTTTGCCAATATGACGATGTCGGTGAGACGGGAACTCTGTGCTGTGATGGTGTTTGCCGTGGTGGAAAGAGCAGGAACCATAGTGTTGAATGATGGTGAAGAGGTTAGTAAATACTTCTAGCACTTAAAAAGTTTCTTTTTGAGGATCTCTCACTACAGCAGTTGGACAACCCATTTCTTTTTTTTTCTTTTAAAAACTCAACAAGTTTGAGTAAACCAAGAACTATGATACGCTTATGTCGCAGAATTCCAAATCCATTAATTTTATTTTTCATTATTTGCAGTATTTATTATAATACATACTGATACTGATAGAAATTTTTCGATATTAACTTTTCAGTTTTCGCAGCTTAAATGTTCATAAATACAATGCATTTTGTCAGACAAAATGATGTTCTTATTGAGGCAATTAGTTATCAATGTTATCTTGTTTACATGTGCTTCAGGGCACAGAGGAAATTTTTTGTTTTGTGTCATTTTAGAGAAGAATATCCAAAGCCAAATTAAAAGGGCACAATGATACATACTCTGTGCTAGGCATATGAAAATATGTAGATATGTGGTTGTGTTTTATTCTTTGTTTTGTAAACTCGTTAAACAGTTTATTTCACTTGATGTTTGTTCCATCTTAAAAAATGGAAGATGTGCTACTAAATCATTTTTCGGGATCATTCTAGCACTTACAGCTTATGATCATGATGTTATATTTTATGCTTTTTTTTCCTTTTTTATTTTTGATTAGCTGGACTCCTGGTCAGTGATTCTCAATGGTTCTGTGGAAGTGACTTACCCAGACGGAAAAGCAGAAATATTATGTATGGGAAATAGTTTTGGTGTCTCTCCTACCATGGACAAAGAATACATGAAAGGAGTAATGAGAACAAAGGTGGATGACTGCCAGGTATAAAATATCATTAAAAATGCATATTTTATTCTTCAAAAAGAACACTTATATGCAGTTGTGATAAGATTTTTATGCCTATGTAAATATGTAGGTAAGATTTTAATGTAGAACTATTGCTTTTGGTCTTATTGTGCCCCAGGAAATTAAAAATTAATTTTCATTTATGGCATTTGAACTCCACAGAACTATGTGTTCTGTTTTGTTAAAAAAGTGTTCTACAAATATAGTATTTAAAAATTGCCATTAATAATATCCATCAAAAGTATGGAAGTAAATGCACATTGTGGAAAGAAATAAATACATTAATAAAGATGATATGGTACAGTTATCCAATGTTTTTACTTAAATACCTATAAAGAATTGATTTTAGAAGTCATGGAAATTAATCATAGTATGAGTCAGTAGAAAAACTTACTAGTCAAATAATTGCTAATAAAAAATATTTGATAACAAAATAATGTTGATATTATATTAATATTCATTATTTAAAAGGATTTAATAATAGACTAGAGAAAATATTAAGACCAAATGTGAAATTTAATTAGATTGATTTAACTGGTAGCCTCTGTATTACTGAGGAATTTAAGATACTTTTGTTATTAAATGTTTATAATTTATGTCTTCTAAAAATATTTTGTCTTTGAAAGATAAAATGTTTTAAGGTAAATAATCAAAAATTTAACTTATAGTAATTAATGTTAAGTGCTCATTGTATTAGTCTGTAGTTTGAAAGACATCTGTATGTGGTTTATTCTAAAAGAACATAATCGAATTTTTATAGTGTCAGATCACTATAAAATGGTGTCACTCATTTAAATATTCATTGTTGGCATTTACTTACCAAAAGAAAAATGACCATTGCTATACATAAAATAATCTTACCTACAGAATCAAAATAATTTTGCCAGATAATTCCTTCAGCAAGCAAAAAAAAAGCTAGAAATTCAATGTTTTAAAGATATAATGCCAGAAAAGCATTCTCTATATAGTCAACTCTCAATTATTTGATATATACAGGAAAACAAAATGGTAGATAAATCCTTGTCTTTATTTGTCCTGGGAATGTGCATTTAAAAGGGGTTATGTGATATTTTAACTCTGGAATGGTACTCCAAAAAATAATAAAACCAGAGTTAAAACAAGTTAGAAAATTGTTAAAGGTTTTTCCATCCTACTGCCTTATTGGCTCTTCCCTGAACCCTTTCTGTGTTGAGATCACAATAGCATTTGAGTTGGAATCCCTGTCCTTAAAGGGCAAGTAAAAAGTTATTTCGTTTTTGAGAATTCTAGCTGTTACATTAACACATCTTAGTTGGTCAAATTTTTTTGTTAGAAATTTTATGATTATGGGACTGAAATGATGTATGAGGCATAGGAATGTTTCAGAATAATTGATAAAAACGTTATCTGAATATTACGGAGTGCTTACATCACGTCAAATGTACCAGGTAATGTTAACTATCTAGGAGCTCTGGGAAAGGAAGGGGAGGTAGGGGTGATGTTAGGGAAGAAGGTCTAGTCTGTTTACAGAATGAGGGATTGGTAGGAAACACAGATAGTCAGCAAGGGTGAGTTCAATTCAAAAGAAAACTCTGATTAAGATATGTAGACTCCTAGGCGGGGCGAGGCTCACACCTGTAATCCTAGCACTCTGGGAAGCCAAGGTGGGAGAATCGCTTGAGGTCAGGAGTTCCAGACCAGCTTGAGCAAGAGAGAGACCCCCTCTCTACTACAAACAGAAAAAATTAGCCGGGCGTGGTGGTGAACGCCTGTGTCCCAACTACTCAGGAGGCTGAGGCAGGAGGGGATCGCTTGAGCCCAGGAGTTTGAGGCTGCCATGAGCTAGGATGTTGCCATGGCACCCTAGCCTGGAAAACAGAGCGAGACTCTGCCTCAAAAATAATTAATTAATTACTTAAAAAAAAGATATATAGACTCCTATACCTCTTAATATGGCCTGTAGCTCCTAAAATAAAATTAATTATAAAGAAGGTCAAGGACAAGGTACCTGTTAGAGAAAATCTCTGTCTCCTCTCTATTCCACTCCAGCCACTGTAAAAGGGACATGTTAAATCAGGGATTTCAGTCCTTACTTCCACCCACCCTCTGCTCAGGCCTGACATTTTATCCCTGAGGGATCCCTTTACAGCGATGGAGAACGAATTTGGGCATTTTTTTTTTTATTTCAGCATATTATGGGGGTACAGATGTTTAGGTTACGTATGTTGCCCTTGCCCTCCCCCCCCAAGTCCGAGTTTCAAATATGTCCATCCTTCGGGTGGTGCGCATTGCACTCTTTGTGTATGCATATACCCATCCCCTCCTCCCCCCCCCCCGCCCAACATCCAATAGATGTTATTCTTATATGTGCACATACGTGTTGATCAGTTAATACCAATTTGATGGTGAGTACATGTGGGGCATTTTAATGTAAGTGCTTGTTTGGGATAGCATTTTGGGGCATTTCTGTTAAAATGTCGTGTATCTGTCAGAAATTACAAGTGCTAGCTGCTTATCCTCTTTAATTGTGGTACTTGTAATTAGGGGAAGTAAAGGAAACAGAACCATATTTTTCTTCCTCCATAAAATAGACTCCGTAAATTTCTATCATTCTGTTGCCCACGTTGTAGGCAATCAACAGCTATTGAATAAAATTAACAAAAGTAAGATATCTTTACCAAGAAAAAGCAACTTTGCCTAATGAGGATTGGCCCTCATTATCTTATATTCCAGTGGGTTCCAAAATGAATATTAGGTAATGTGATATATGGTTGAGCTCATGTTAAGCCTAAGAACACAAAGGTGAATAGACTAAATTTAACATTTATTTCCATTTCTTTGGATCCCATGATATGCTCAAACTTGTGTTTTGTTCTGGGTCCCTTTGCATTCTCCTCTTCAGTTCTCTCTCTTTAGTGTTTATTCTTATTCCCCTGTTTGGTGTGAAGGACAAAGGTCAGAGCTTGGTATAGACATCCTCTATACCAAGTGCTTGGTAATGGTTTTCCATTCCCCATATAGACCTCTTTCTTTTCTTTTTCCCTTCTCCTGTGTCCCTTTTTCCCTTTCTTCCTCTTCCACCCTCCTACTCCCTTTATTCTTCTCCCTTTTTTCCTTCTCCACTGCCTGTGTCTTAGGCCTGCCAGTGACACCCAGGCATTGCTTAGCCCTGCCCTCCACCCTTCAGTGGGGAATGAGCACTTGGAAACCTATGTGAACAATTAGGTACGAACTTCCCTTACAAACTACAAAGTGCCGGTTTAAACAGATCTAACCTCTTAAGGTAAATCTGTGTCAGATTCAACTTTTCCTGGTATCGTGGGAACTAATGACATTTTGGATTTAAAAAGTAGTGTTGGGTGAGAAGGCAGTTTGCTATGAATAAATTGAAAGTTGACTATATCATATGTTGATTAAAGTTTAATTTTATTTCATTCATTGTCTTAATTTTTCTACCTAAGTATAAATTATTATGTCATGTGCCCAAAGGAAAATAATCTTGTGGCATAAACTGCCATTGACCTTTTATAAATGAAATCTTGTCTGAATTTTTATTTCATCTCAGGGTGCTAAGATGACACAGTACTTTCATGTGTTTATAATTGTCTGAAAGTCTAAAATATCACTAAAACAATTCACAGATTTTCAACGGACTTCATCATACTAGTTAAAATTAAATTTTACCTGTGAATTTCATGTTAGATCTACAGATTTCTTAAAGTAAAAATAAGTTGCTATTTTAAAAAGATAAATATTTTCAACTAAAATTTATTTCTTTTTAGATACCAGTTCTGTATGGCCGTATTAGAAATTCAGTTTGGGATTTTTTTTTTGCTTTTTGGATGGTATTTCAGTTTGCTACAGAAGAGATGCCAAAATGTCTGTCTAGACACTAAAAATTTCAAATCAAATTTATTCTAATTTCTTTAAAATCTTTAGTCAAGAAGATTAATTTTAGTATATTTCTCTTTAAAAAGCATTTTTTTCCATCTGTCTATCTACTTATTCATTTGAACTCTGGGATATATTTCTTTTTTAGAGGATAAATGAGAAATTATGATTTAATTAAGTTCTCTAAAACTGAGTGTAAGAAAGAACACCTAAAATTATTTGGCGATAAAACCTTTCTAAATCTCCTGTATGTATTTGGGGAACAATTTCACTGCTCTATAAATAGAAATAAAGATAATTTTAAGTTAAGAAACTAAGGGTAATATTTTTCAAAACATACACGCCTGTGGTCAGTGTTACGGAAATGGGTTTTTTAAAAAGGTATTTTTAAAAATTTAAACTATGCATAATAACTTGTACAAAAAAGCCTTTTTGAATTTTAAACTTTTTGATTCTAAATGCTTAATAGAAAAATTAGTGAGACTATGTCAGCTGGCTCAGTGGGAGAAACTTGATATTGCAATATGCTGTTTCTCTTATGACCTGCTATTCTACTTCTTAAAAAAACTATTGATTATGCAGAAAGTATGGAAAATATAGAAAAGTACGTTAAATGAAAGGAAAGTTGCTCATAATTTGCATTGCTCAGAAATAATATTAACATTTTATTATATTTCCCTCCAAAATTTTGTGTTTGCATGTATAATTTTTTTAAAAAATTAGCCAGCATGTGATTAGGAGGCTGTTTCCTCATCTGTACAGCAGGGATAATAGTACTTTCCTCATGGCATGACTAGGAGAACAAATTGAGAAAGTTCCTGCATGCGTACCATAATATAATGTGATTATGATAATGATCTTGTCATTATGACTGTTATTATAATATTTAGTATTGTATCATTTAAAAAAGTTTAATAGCATTAAAGCCAGAATTCTGTATAATTTGGGGTTGTTGCATCATATTTTATCTTATATGCAGTCTAATTTAACTACCTCCTTATTTTTCATCTTCATATTAAAGGAGAAAAAGAAATGCTATAATTATTTCCATTTCCAAATGATTTGTTAAATCAGAATAAATTATTCAAAATTTAAGGAAAATAATTTTTATTTGTCTAAGTGTCTGTTCTTATCTCCTCACTGGCCTCTGGTTAATTTGAGTAATAAGTGGTTTCTATAATTCATTCTTAATTTTCTTTAAAACTACTAAGAAGTGTAATTATTTGAATGGTTTGTCCTGAGCTCTGAATTTTTTATATTTGGGGTCGTGAAAGAGTGATTAATTGATATGCATATTGTTAACTTTTTCTTTAAGAGCAATGATTACCCTTAATGATTTGAAGCTATAACAAATATGTGGCTTATTTTATAATCTTCCTTGAATACACTTTCTAAAATGGTGTCTCATCAATATAGCTAGCAAATTTATGTATCCACTCCATTAGGTATCTTTGAATATATTTTTTATTAAAAACCATTCTTTTTTTTTTTTTTTTTTTTTGAGACAGAGTCTCACTCTGTTGCCTGGGCTAGAGTGCCGTGGCATCAGCCTAGCTCACAGCAACCTCAAACTCCTGGGCTCAAGCGATCCTCCTGCCTCAGCTTCCCGAGTAGCTGGGACTACAGGCATGCGCCACCATGCCCGGCTGATTTTTTCTATATCTATATTTTTAGTTGTCCAGATAATTTCTTTCTATTATTAGTAGAGATGGGGTCTCGCTCTTGCTCAGGCTGGTCTAGAACTCCTGACCTCGAGCGATCCATCCGCCTTGGCCTCCCAGAGTGCTAGGATCACAGGCGTGAGCCACCGTGCCAGGCCTAAATACCATTCTTATTTAAAGTTGTTGCTTTTTAAATCTTTAAATTTTTAAAATTCACTAAATGATAATTAAGTTTTCGTGTCTGTCTTCCTAGGGTTCCTCTCCCCCACCCCCTCCCCAGTGTTTTTAACTGACAGGAGCATGAAAAAGGGCTCTTCTAATTTTGTCTTCTGAGTTTTACAGTTGTTGGGATTTTGAATATAAAATACACATAAATATTCTAAAAGTGAAACTTTTCTTGACCAAGGAAGAAATGCATTAAAAGTAGAGAAGTCTGATTAAAGTTCATTAGTGTATTAATTTAGAAAGTATGAGAAAGACAGGGAAAAATGTCAGTTTTAAATAATTAAAACACTGAATTATTAGTACTGCTGGGTCTTTTGCAAGCACTTTATCATTAACATGTGACTTATGTTTTATTCCAGTTCGTCTGCATAGCCCAGCAAGATTATTGCCGTATTCTCAACCAAGTAGAAAAGAACATGCAAAAAGTTGAAGAGGAAGGAGAGATAGTTATGGTGAAAGAACACCGAGAACTTGATCGAACTGGAACAAGAAAGGGACACATTGTCATCAAGGTGAGACAAAGAACCATCCCTACTTCCCATGGAAAGGAATTTTTTTGGTAGTATCACTTGTGGCAATTTAGGATTTTTGTCATTTTTTGTTTTATTTTATTTATTTATATGTTGAGACGGGGTCTTGCTCTGTTGCCTGGGCTAGAGTGCATGGCAGGATCATAGCTCACTGCAACCTCAAACTCCTGGCTTTAAGCAGTCTCTCCTGAATAGCTATGACCACAGGCATGTGCCACCACGCCCCGCTAATTTTTTAAATTTTTTTTTGTGGAGACAAGGGCTTGCTGTGTCACCCAGGCTGGTCTCAAACTCCTGACCTGCTGATTTATTTTCATTTTTTAAGCATAGTATCTGTTAAACGTTATCAGTTATAAAAAAAACTTTGTATTTCCTGATGAATAGTTTTATTAATTATTATCTGTGCTGCTACCTAGTTCATTTTATGTTGAAGGTTTGAAATCAAGATACCATATAAGTGTTATATATTCAGGGTAGTGATTTAACCTTTGATTTGTTACAGGGCACCTCAGAGAGGTTAACGATGCATTTGGTGGAAGAACATTCAGTAGTAGATCCAACATTCATAGAAGACTTTCTGCTGACCTATAGGACTTTTCTTTCTAGCCCAATGGAAGTGGGCAAAAAGTTATTGGAGTGGTTTAATGACCCGAGCCTCAGGGATAAGGTTGGAACTATATTATTTTGGCTCTTAAATATGAAATATTAAAATGTAAACCTGAAGATACTTTTAATGTATATTTTTGTTCCACCAGTTATTCAGATTAATTTAATACAAGAATGTGCTTTTTAAGCAAAAAAAACAAAATAAGATAAGGTGATACAAATATTAGTTCTTATACATTTCTGAGTTCAGCCCTAGAAATGTCTTTTTTTCTTTAAGTGCCAAGGCCAAATACCAAATTGGCCACCAAATGCTTAAACTGTAATTGTATTGGGAATATGTTAAAACATAACCAAATATCTGGATTCCATAGGAATCTGCATTCTCTAGTTTGGTACAGTCAGTGTACACCAGATAAAAGTTACAATTTTTAAATTGGCACCAAAGCAGCATTTCATGACAGTCAATGCTGCCTGCCTGTAGGCTCCAGTAATATAATTTTAAGGAGACTGGAGACCATCTTTAGCAGCTCTGGAGAGCTCTATCAAGGCCAGATTGGATGATAAACTACATAGTCTTATCTCCTTTCTTTTACAACCTATTCCCTTACAGATCTTTTTAGGCTTATTAATACTATTCATTCTTTTTGTCTAGTTTGTTCTTCTTCCTTTATTTTTTAGTTTCTGTCTTCTTTTATATTAACCTGGTTTGGTTTTATTATACCTTTGCTTTTATTTTGATCTGTTTCAAATGTGTTTTAAAAGTAAAGCAAGATGTAAGTTAAATACTTTCACAGATTCAAAACCCTTCATGGCAAAGCAACATAGTCTACATTCAAAGTATAAATATATATTTTCACAGGTCTTATTTTTACATAAACAAAATGCTTGTTGAAGGTTTTATTGTTATTTTCAGTAGTATTAGGTAAATTGTTTGAAAGTTAGATACCTTTTTTGAAATTATTTTTATCACATTTTCACCACTATGAAGAAGAATATTTATTGAAAATTGGTTTTTCAGGTTACACGGGTAGTATTATTGTGGGTGAATAATCACTTCAATGACTTTGAAGGAGATCCTGCAATGACTCGATTTTTAGAAGAATTTGAAAATAATCTGGAAAGAGAGGTAATATTTGTTTTTTGTTTTTTTTTTTTTTACAAAAAGTGAGCTTTAATTTCATTTATTCAGCCTGTCTTTGAATTGACACCACTCTTTCTGAACTCTTACAGAAAATGGGTGGACATCTAAGGCTGTTGAATATTGCATGTGCAGCTAAAGCAAAAAGGAGATTGATGACATTAACAAAACCATCCCGAGAATCTCCTCTGCCTTTTATCTTACTAGGCGGCTCTGAGAAGGGATTTGGAATCTTCGTTGACAGTGTAGATTCAGGTAGCAAAGCAACGGAAGCAGGCTTGAAACGTGGAGATCAGGTACACTATTTCTAAATCCAGCTTTAAGGGTGAATTTTGGTGTCTTTTTTTCCTTCAGTTCATTGTGTTTACTGACATTAATTTTATAATTTCATTTTTAGATACTAGAAGTAAATGGTCAAAACTTTGAAAATATTCAGCTGTCAAAAGCCATGGAGATTCTTAGAAATAACACACATTTATCTATCACTGTGAAAACCAATTTATTTGGTAAGTATTAATATCTACTTTCATTTTTCTCCTCTTGGTCTTTTTTTTTTACATTTAGTTATTGAATGAAAAAAGTCATTTTTATAAGTAATATTTCGAACACAAGAGCAAACTATTTATAGTAAATTGCATAGATTAGATCCAAGTCAAAACGTGACTTGAAGACAATAAAAGTTATTTTTAATATGTTTTTATTGATAAATGAAATCTTTTATTGATAAATACTAAAGTACCTATAGATTAAAGAATATACTATTTTTTAAACTTATTCTGATAGAGCAATGTACAAAGCGTTTCTTGGTGTCATTCATTTACTGCAGTAGTGTTTTTCTACAGGATTGCAATTTTGATAGCTGAAGTCTGTGCTTCTCATACATTTCTAAGTCCACCATTGCTTTGGAGTTCTTTAGATTTCTTATAATTAGCACTTTGTGGTATTTCTATTTATTTTAGTATTTAAGGAACTTCTAACAAGATTGTCAGAAGAGAAAAGAAATGGTGCCCCTCACCTTCCTAAAATTGGTGACATCAAAAAGGCCAGCCGCTACTCCATTCCAGATCTTGCTGTAGATGTGGAGCAGGTCATAGGACTTGAAAAAGTGAATAAGAAAAGTAAAGCCAACACCGTTGGAGGAAGGAACAAGCTAAAAAAGATACTCGACAAGACTCGGATCAGTATCCTGCCACAGAAACCATATAAGTGAGTGTGTAAATTTTCTGTACATTATTTTATTGTGTTAAAATGGTATACAACGGTAGTGATGTAATTAATATTTGCGTGAGTCTACTAAGTGTTTTGGTTTTTTTTTTTTTTTTTTTGAGACGAAGTCTCACTGTGTTGCCCGGGCTAGAGTGCCGTGGCGTCAGCCTAGCTCACAGCAACCTCAAACTCCTGCACTCAAGCGATCCTCCTGCCTCAGCCTCCCGGTAGCTGGGACTACAGGCATGCGCCACCATGCCCAGCTAATTTTTTCTAAATATGTTTAGTTGTCCAGTTAATTTCTTTGTATTTTTAGTAGAGACGGGGTCTCGCTCTTGCTCAGGCTGGTTTCGAACTCCTGAGCTCAAACAATCCGCCCGCCTCGGCCTCCCAGAGTGCTAGGATTACAGGCGTGAGCCACCGCGTCCGGCCTACTAAGTGTTTTAAGCTTTTATGGCCGAGCTATTTTAGAGAAGTAATATTAAACAATCAAGTTAGTTTTAATCCCATTTTTGCTACTTAATTGCCCACACCCAATCTTCATTAGAGATAGTCTAGCACTTCCGCATTTCAACTATTTTCTTCCTCCTTTGGACTGCATAAAAAGCGTAAAGCGTGTGTTTGCTTTCTCTGTCTCCCAGGAAGATTTAGAATTGTTTTTGCTACTGTATCATTTCTGAGTATCTTCTCTACCATCAGCATCTGCTCTTTACTAGTCAAATCATTGCTTCATCCAGTTGTCACTCTTCATCCCTGCCGTTCTCTTTTCCCCCTCACGCTTCCATTTTCGGTTATTTAACTGTTGCCAAGACATTGGCAACTGAGCACAGAACTACTTTTATTCTTTCTGGTCAACTCTATAGTCAAAATGTCAGGTGTATTCTTGAGTTTCTTCTTGGCTATTTACTTGTGCCAGAAGCTTAGGCCAAACAAAGTTGCAGGTGTCTCTTGATACTTTTTTAGCTTTGTTTATTTCTTCATTTTAGCTCCTTCTTGAGTCTAGGGATGTTTTATTAAAAACTCAGTTACCATTAGCCCGTGTTTTATTTTGTTGTGTTGTGTTGTTTTTTTGTTTTTTTTGGGACCTGGTCACGCTAGCTGGTCTTGAACTTATGGCCTCAAGTGAGCCGCTAGCCTTGGCCTCCCAAAGTGCTGGGATTACAGGCACGAGCCACCACACCCAGCCTGTCAATTTTTGTTGTAGTGTTAAGTAACTCAGTATGCCACGTTTAATTATATATTCCTCAAACTACAATTATATGAGAGAGGATGGGCATGGTGGCTCATGCCTGTAATCCCAGCACTTTGGGAGGCTGAGGCAGGAGGATAGTTGAGGTCAGGAGTTCAAGACCAGCGTGGGCAACATAGGAAGACCTCATAGTGTACAACTATAGTCCAGGTGAGAGGATTGCTTGAAAACCCACAAGTTTCAGGTTACAGTGAGCTATGATCAAGCCACTGCACTCTAGCCTGGGGGACAGAGCAAGACCCTGTTTCTAAAAAAGTAAAATGCACACAAAGACACATACATGGGATAACTTGAAAACATATAGGTTAATTTCTTTGTTTGATAATTTAATAAGTCTAAAGAGAAGTAGTAGATACAGACATTCAGGACTACATCAAGCATTTCTTTTTCTTTTTAAAAAAACTTCCATTTCAGGCTGGTCACGGTGGCTCACACCTGTAATCCCAGCACTTTGGGAGGCCAAGGTAGGAATATTGCTTGAGGCCAGGAGTTTGAGACCAGCCTGGGCAACATAGCAAGACCCCATCTCTACAAAATACATTTTAAACAATTAGCCAAGCATGGTGGTGTGTACCTGAGGTCTCAGCTCCTCGGGAGGCTGAGGCAGGAGGATCACCTGAGCCCAGGAATTTGAGGTTGTACCACTGCACTCTGGCCTGGGCAACAGTGAGACTCTTGTCTCAAAAAATAAAAAGAAAAAATTTCATGTTAGATAAAATTTTAATCCACAGATTAGAGAGATATGATTTAAAATATATTACTGATGGGCTGAGTGTCAAACTTGTGTTGTCCCTGTTGAACTATAGAGTAATGATTGGTAGTTTTGTATCAGCTAAAGAAGACTTCTGTTGCAGAGTCCTAAGGATAAGGAATGAGTATGATGGTTTTATTTATAACCTCAAGGGTATGTTTATATTGAGTTAGTTTCTAAGAGATAACGGATTAGGTCAGCTGGCATTTACAGAAAATAGGATTCGATTTTTAAAATGATCCTTCTTGAAGAAAAATTTATTTTTAAATGGATGAAAAAAAACTTACCTAAATGAAGAATTATTAGCAGCACAATAACAAAAAAAAGATCTTAGAGTCATACATGACCAAGAGTTAAATATGAACCTTAAAAAAAAAAAACAAAAGTCACCATAACCCTGACAAGTATTAATAGAACGTGACATATAAGAACTGGGATGTAATCTATCCACAGCACAGGATGTTGGCAGGGCACACTGTATGAGAATACTATGTATAATTTTGTTCTGTATGTATCTAAATACATCTCTCTAAAGAGATACTCAAAAGCTAGACAAGGGAAAAGAAAAGACAATTAGTTATATTGACACTGAAGAAACTAATGTAATATATTTAAAGAAAGGCTCAGTAAACTGTGGGATCCATTATATAGTAATAGACTTGGTTTAATACTAGCTACTACTTAAGCTTTTCTAAAAATCAACGTGTTTATGAAAAAAAAATTTTTTTTTACAAAGCTGCTAAACTAGTAAGTCAAAAATCTAAATGTAATATACTGTTGGGTTTTTTTTTTTTCTCTCAAACCTCATCAGTATAACAGAAGTTAAGATGCTGGAGAGAAAGACTGTTGAACCCAGAGGAAAGAAGGAATAAGTCAACAGACTTGATTTTAATTTATGTCTTGACTTTAAAAGAAAGTTCTTGTCCTTGCTTATTTGCCTCCATAATTTCCATTTTCCAAAAAAAGTAAAGAGAAGGAATGTGGCTAGATTTTTCTTTTTTTTTCTTTCTTTTTTTTTTTTTAGCACAGCCACTCAAAATAGTAGGTATTACGATCAAGGCCTAATGTATGAAAACATAATAAATATTAAATGTCTTCATTTTATTTACGATGCCTTCCTTAGTTTAAATCCCAACCTCAGTATAATTTTCTTGCTTCTTATTTCAAGGTGTTAGTCAGAACTATAACCATTTGCTTGTGATCTAGTTGTTTTTGTGTGTGTATATGCTTATTCTTTTGCCTGATCTTTTGTTTTAGAAACAGTTGACCCTTCAAAACTAGAAATAATTTTTATGTACCATTAAATGATGTTTTAAGAGTTGTTCAGAGTAACAAGTGTTTTATAAATGGAAATGAATTTGTATCTATCAACCAGTATTTCTCTGGGAATTTAAATGTGTTAACTAGAAATTTTGAGGAGGGAATTAAAAGTGAGTCATTGAATTTCCATTGCCTTTTCTTTGATACTTGGAAATGTCACCATGCACCACTGATTTTTTATGCAGTGTATAATTAAGAAATAATATCTGTGTCAGGGTATCCTTACGTTTGACTCCATAGTGATCTCATTTTTTTCCTCTAAAACAATGGAGAATAAAATTAGGACAGTTTGGATTTTTTCCCTCTTTTCATTTTACTCAATTTCTTCAGGTCTTGAAGATCAAATTATAAAATAATTTATCATTCTGATGCAGAACTATCAGTTGAGTGCAACTAAATGCATTCTTTGTAACATGCTTTTTTTCCAATCCATTTTCATGAGAAGCTAGGTCTTATATTTTGTTGAATACATTTCTCTAAGAAGCTACTAATATTTATTATGGCTTATCTAGTTAAAAAATAATAGGTTCTAGAGAAACATACTATATACTTAAGAAACAGCAAAACAAATTGGATACATTTAAACAGTAGTTGCTTTTACAATTTTCAACCAAATTTATTAATGACATTTTTTTACATTAACTACAAGTTTTATAGAATATAGTTTATTTATAGTCTGTGTCTTTATATGGCGATAGCTTATAGCATTTTAACTTACTGATAATTTATTTTCTAATTTTTCTCTTTGTTCAGTGATATTGGGATTGGTCAGTCTCAAGATGACAGCATAGTAGGATTAAGGCAGACAAAGCACATCCCAACTGCATTGCCCGTCAGTGGAACCTTATCATCCAGTAATCCTGACTTACTGCAGTCACATCATCGCATTTTAGATTTTAGTGCTACTCCTGGTAAGCATCACCAATACTTATTTTGTTTTCTTATAGCAATCTTTTTCCTTCTAACATAGTGGTAATCCTGTATGTATCTCTCTTGTGTTGGCATGGATTATATCAGATACCCAGAGTCAAGATGAACCTTAAATTTCAAGCAGTGGAACGAGTTCTTTTTATATTCTGCAGACTATTTTGATATGGCCATGGGCAAATTAATCTCTCCGAGCTTATTTCGTCTTTCATAAAATAAAGATAACACATACCATGCAGTTATTACTAAGTCTTATCCAGTAAATAAAGTAAAAGATATATTGTAGGTCAACTTAACGGGTTTTTCAATATAATAAAGATTTACTCTAGATGTAAATTTTGTTATTTTGATACCAACATGACAGTTTTGTGTGCTGCTGTTGTGTACTGATGTGTTTGCAACTGTCTGTAGATCATTCAGTTATTTATAGAGGAAGATGGAAGATGCATTCTTGATTTAATCTATTAAGAAGAGCTATAGTAAGGGAGAGGTGAAATTTCAGCATTACCTTTTTTAGGGAAGTTTTTTTGTTTGTTTGTTTTATTTTTTCCCCAGATAACTCCGTTAAATTGCATTACCGTATATTAAACTCCTTTTTACTTATGTGTGGCTTTTCTTTCCCCCAGACTTGCCGGATCAAGTACTAAGGGTTTTTAAGGCTGATCAGCAAAGCCGATACATCATGATCAGTAAGGACACTACAGCGAAGGAGGTGGTCATTCAGGCTATCAGGGAGTTTGCCGTTACTGCTACCCCGGATCAATATTCGCTGTGTGAGGTCTCCGTCACACCCGAGGGAGTAATCAAACAGAGAAGACTTCCAGATCAGCTTTCCAAACTTGCTGATAGAATACAACTGAGTGGAAGGTATACATTATCTATCTTACTGTATTTCTTCACCTACTCTTCAAACCCACATCAAAGTCTAAGAGATAAACACTTTTAAAGGGTATCTTAAATGAGTAAGTGCCCCTGCAGATTAAAAAGTTTTTTTTCCTTTTCACCAAGAATTGCTGTGTCTAAGTAAATGCTCACAGTTCAGTACTGATCCTGACAAAGATCCTCTAAGAACTTGTTCAAGGGCACTGTGACCTGAAAGTTGTTACTGACTCCCCAAGTGCAAACAGTAGCTTCTCAAGGTTGCGCTTTATACTGGGCTAGTAGAATGGTCGAGTAAGCTTAATGTAAAGTCACAGGTAAACCCCGATGCTGTCTTCTCCTTGGAAACATGTGCATTCAAAAACACATTTTCTAATAATGTTCTAGTATCATTTGCTCATGCATACCTAACTTTTCTAGGAGCTTCATTAGTTTAGTCAGAAGCATCTATGACAATGTGGTTGGCTAAGACTGCCTATTATTACATACCATGCTATGAAATATGCTTCTTAACTCTGAAACCAAACTTTGGTTGCTACAGAGCTCGGTCCTTTGCTGCCTAAGTGCTTATATCATACATGTTACTTGCAAGAAAACATTGTACCTGATTTTGTCATTCTCTTGAATGTTATTTCCATTGTTAGGTGTATGTAATTTCATCCTCAAATCACAATAAATGAAAGTTGAAAAATAAAGTAGTTAAGTTTTGGCTCTCATATAGTGACTAGATTCTACACTGACTAAAAATTATGTAGTTCTGTAAGTCATATTTTTTTCTATTTTTCTTACCTTATGCAGTGTTTCATTATACTTTTTCATATTATAGATTTTATTTCATTCATTCAAAACTTCTGTTTTCTTGCAATCAACTGTAACTTCCTTATTCTTCTTCACTCTTATTTCCAAACATGATCAGATAGTTTTGTTTTAGTTAGGTTAGTTTTTCTCAATTATCATTTGAATATACATTGATAGATCTGTAACTGTGATAGAGTTCTACATCTCCATTGAGCTGCAGATTCATGCTTCACAAAAATCATAGATAGGTCCATGTCATTGGCCTCATGAGTAATCAAAATGGAGAACATTAAATCTGTGAATTTATAACAGGTATATGTTTTCTGTCATAAATATTTGCCTTGGTAAATTATGCCCCAAAAAAACCAGTTTAGATGGACCCTCACTGTGCTCATTCTGTTTCTGTTTCTTCATGTATGGAATTTGGCTTAGAAAAAACATGTATCTACCTGTCCCTTCCCCGCAATAAAAAAAATCACAGGCAAACATCTGAATGCTATTTTCAACCAGATGTTTAGAAAAAGAAAGGAGTACCAGCCCTGAGTTCTTGTTCCTGTGCTGGCATTAACTAGCCATTAATCTTTAGGAGCTTCTGTTTCCTATTCTGATAAATAGGGATTATACCTGCCCCACTTACATGTAGGGTTTTCATGAAAATCTAGATTAAGTAAGGTTGGATTGATCTAATTTGGACCCATCAGTAGTCACAGATTCTCTCTTCACCCTGGGAAGATAGAGTGATGACCTGTGTCTGAACTTTCCTGCTTCCTGCTATCGGTCCTATTCCCTTATTTAAGTTGAAAATATAAGCTATAGCTATTTTCTGTCATTTTTAGCCAAAAAGATAAAATAATTTAGAAAGCAGGAAAGGAAGAAAAGGAATTATAACTGGTACAAATGAAATTCCATGGGATCTGTTTGTTTCCATCACCAACTTCGGGATAGGTGGTTCTATGATCTGGCGACTGGAGACAGCACCTGCACTCTCTGCCTTGGTTGAACAGAATCCTTATATCATCCAATTCGGTGTTCTCTCAAACTTTCTGTGAAAAGCATTCTTCTTTCCAGGAATGTCATGAGACTGCTGCTTAGGCTTTAAATCTGGTATGTTTCTGGTTTTCATAGGTATTATCTGAAGAACAACATGGAAACAGAAACACTTTGTTCAGACGAAGATGCTCAGGAGTTGTTGAGAGAGAGCCAGATTTCTCTGCTTCAGCTCAGCACGGTGGAAGTTGCCACACAGCTCTCTATGCGCAATTTCGAACTGTTCCGCAACATTGAACCTACCGAATACATAGATGATTTATTTAAACTCAAATCAAAGACCGGCTGTGCCAACCTGAAGAAATTTGAAGAAGTCATTAACCAGGAAACATTTTGGGTAGCATCTGAAATTCTGAGAGAGACAAACCAGCTGAAGAGGATGAAGATCATTAAGCATTTCATCAAGATAGCACTGCACTGTAGGGAGTGCAAGAATTTTAACTCAATGTTTGCAATCATCAGGTAGGAGAGCATAGTTTTCTTCAGATTGAATGCAGTTTACAGATTTAAAATAAGTATCAATCCAGTAACACCACATAATTAGTATAAATGCAGTAGGTCTTAATTGACTCATAATGAACAATTCTTTTTCTCTGAATCCTAATCTAATCCTTAATTTAAAATATGTCATATGCTGATTTGGAGCCCAGAAAATCTATATCCCCCACTTTTTATTTTTTTGTTTTAGCTCTGTGACCTTGAGTAAATAATTTTAACTTCTCTGAACACCATTTTATTTCTCTGTAAAATAACAATACCCCAAAGAGCTGTCAAGAAGATTAAATAATATGATGTATGTGGAGTTCCATCAGACAGCACAAAGCAGATGCCCAATGAATGTTAATTTTCTTCTCTTTTAAGTCCTTAGATTGAGGTTGGAAGAAAGTACAAATGGAAACAATTAGCTATATTGATGTTAAGCATGATTATTAAATTAGTCATTTTCTCTGTGGGAGTTTGGCTATACTCTCATTGCTATTATAGCTTTTGTTTTATTTTGCTACTGTAGGAAATTTGCCCAGTTTGTTTTATCAGACGGCTGCCTGGGCCACGTACTGCTGTATGTACGGAGACAAAGCATCAGCACTTATATCCTAGTGGTTTTGAGGCAGATGAGGAGGGAATAAAGGGAAGACAAGAATAAAACCCCTTGGCTTGACCCTGGCTCTACTTCCATCGGCCATTCTTGTTACCCAGAATTATCGTTGAAAGTTTCTTATGCCTCCTTCTGTAAATTATCATGTGTATAAAGCACACTTGCAGAGGTGTTATATGTCAGTTCTTAATCAGTACACTAGTTTACTCCCTTCATTTCGTAAGAGACCATTTAATTGTACACCACTTTTCTTTTTCCTCCTCTCAGTGGTCTAAACCTGGCACCAGTGGCAAGACTGCGAACAACCTGGGAAAAACTTCCCAATAAATACGAAAAGCTATTTCAAGATCTCCAAGACTTGTTTGATCCCTCCAGAAACATGGCCAAGTATCGCAATGTCCTCAATAGTCAAAACCTACAGCCCCCCATAATCCCTCTATTCCCAGTTATCAAGAAAGATCTCACATTCCTTCATGAAGGTAAATAAAAGGTGGAGGATTTCTATTGTCACTTGTAGCAGCATAGAATAAATGCCATGTGATTTCCTTTTTCTTCTCTGTCAATTACAGGAAATGACTCAAAAGTAGACGGGCTGGTTAACTTTGAGAAGCTAAGGATGATTGCAAAAGAAATTCGTCATGTGGGCCGAATGGCTTCAGTTAACATGGACCCGGCCCTCATGTTCAGGACTCGGTGAGTGTGTCATCTTCAGTGGCACATGTGGGATTGGAGAAGGTTAAGTTTAGAGCTTCCCAACAAATGAGAAAAGAAGTTGAATATTTATATTTGTGGCATGTCAGAAATTACATTAGGACGTGCTGAGAATCACCACTGAGCTCTAATTTGGAGTAAATGTCTTATTCTGCACCAAGTGCACTTTTTACTGTCAGTAAAAATAATTTGACCTTCAGACATTTTTGATTTACCATTAGTCACAATGATATATTTATTTTTCAGAACACTGACTTAAAGAGAGCTAAAACTCATAACTATAGTAGTATGAACTAAAATATGTAAATAACCCAAACAGTAGTGTCTCGATATCCACGCAATGGGATTCAGCTATCAGTGTGGTCAAAATGATGAATTCAGTGAGGGAGAGAAAGAAGTCAGTCTTCCTCTAGAAAAAAATATTTAAATATATTTGTCTATTGAGCCAGAAAAATATTTCCGGCAAAGTTGTATGTGTGAGGTAATTATGCCGTTTAATGTTTGTGTGCTTCTAGAACTGCTTATCCAGAAGTCTAGTCTTTTCTTTCTGAGCTTTAATCTCTCTGTCTCTCCTTCTGCAACCCGTGCTTCAATCTCCATGGCTCTCACTTACAGGAAGAAGAAATGGCGGAGTTTGGGGTAAGTGGTGGAGACCTTGCATACCCACACGTGGTTCTTATTCTGCTCATTGCATTGTTTTCTTACCTGCTATATTTTCTGATGCTTTGCATTTTTGCATTTTTTTCTTAACCCTCTTGCTGTAGCAGAATTTCAGATGGCAAACTGACTTCAAATTTAATCTGTTGGGCCTTTTGCTTTTGAAGTCATGATCCATGAGAGCTATGAAATGATTGATGATTGTTCTGGGGAACTGTAGGCCAGGCCTATTTCTGAGCTCTCAGAAAGATTTTATTTTAATGTAATTTGTATGTCTTGAAACAGGAATAGCCACAAGTAGGAGGAGGGGAGGGAGGATAGAAGGAGGAGGAGTGGGAGGAGAGTAGAAGGAAAAATCGTGCAATTAAAATACTATTGCATAGATATGTGAGAAGTAAATATATATAATATAAAAGGTGCCCCAGGTGTTAAAACCAAATTTTTTACAGCTCAACTAACTACTATTTTCATTCTGTGTAAACCAATCCTTTTAAAAAATAATTCTTAACAATTCGTGTGCTAAATATTAATAGTTTCCATACATACGCGTTTACATTTGCATGACTGTATTATTAACAGATTGACCATATTACTGTAAAAACTCACCACATTCACTCCACGGGATAGGAAAACAGTTGTGAACATTGCAGCCAGTTTTATTTAAATCTATGTAAAACATGCTCTTTAGGAGAAGTACATTTAATATTGTAAACCTTAATGATTATAGCTGTATATTCTTGCATGAACTTCTGTATATATAATAATTATTGGCTGGCTTCTATGAGAACACCGCCTTGAATGCTCTATGGAGGTGAAAAGTAGAATTTCTTAGTTGGAACAGAACAGGTGCCAAACATACATATTTTTATGTATATTACATATAACTGTTTTTTTAACTAAAACAATTTTTCTACGTTATTCTTTTATAACAGTATGCTTACTGGAATGAGGCATGTGACCTTTTGAACAGGGAATATGTATATTAATATAAGTCTTGGCACATTTTAAATAGATAAAATAATCTCATGCTAGAGTGAGCTGCATATCTACCTTTTCATCTTCCAGGTCTCTCAGCCAGGGTAGTACAAATGCAACAGTGCTAGATGTTGCTCAGACAGGTGGCCATAAAAAGCGGGTACGTCGTAGTTCCTTTCTCAATGCCAAAAAGCTTTATGAAGATGCCCAAATGGCTCGAAAAGTGAAGCAGTACCTGTCCAATTTGGAGCTAGAAATGGATGAGGAGAGTCTTCAGACATTATCGCTACAGTGTGAGCCAGCAACCAACACATGTGAGTTTTTCCTTAAAGTGGCTGCAGACTTTGGCTGGAATGCACATTTGTTTCCTCTGGTATGGGTGGTGACAAAATGCGGCTTACTGCAAAGGGAGGAATAGCAACGCTGAGATATCCTAGCCTTTCCCTTGAATGCTACTATTGAGTACCATGCAGCACCGTGCTTGGCCAAGCCCTTGTGTCCACCTGGGGAGACTGGGGAGGATGACGCTGTGGCTGCATCAAGCGTAACTGTTGCTTTAGTTTCATCCTGACCCAGCCAGTACACATGCAAGGGACACCTGGGTGAATGTGGCTCCCATTTGCATGCCTGGTTTTCTCACAAAGGTACTCCCAAGGGGATGGGCACCCCAACAGGTTGGGGCCCACCAGGACAGATGAGCACAGAACCGGGTGTGCCTGCTGCCCTTGACACCCCTAGCCCGCACAACACTCAGCGGCAAATTCAAGTACCACTTGAAGCAATAATGCCACTTAATAGTGAACCACAAGACACTAATATGTAGGTTTCTGGCCTTATGCATCAAAGAATTTTGGACACTATCTTAGAAAAATAATGCCTGATGTTTTTCCTGTTGTAGATTTTACCACATATTTGTGTTTTTAAATATATATACATATAGCATATGGAACTGTCCACATTTTTCTATTTTTACTTATGTGTTTAATAGTATAATCATCTTTTGAGGTTGCTAATTTCATAAAGTAAATATCTTTGTCCTGCCATGCCTCTAATATTTTATGTAACTAGGGTACCCCCTCAATTTCCGTCCTTTATATAGACAGCAGAGAAAAAAGACGTGCATTTTAGTATTCTAGCTGCAGAAAATGCTCATGTAGTTCTAAAATTACCTTCTACATAGCTGCCAATGTCTCAAATCCTTTGTTCTCTTTTCAAACCAAACAATTATCAGTGCCTAAGAATCCTGGTGACAAAAAGCCTGGCAAATCCGAGACCTCCCCTGTGGCTCCGAGGGCAGGGTCACAACAGAAAGCACAACCCCAGCCACAGCCCCAGCAGCCGCCGCCACCACATAAAGTCAACCAGGGACTGCAGGTTCCTGCCGTGTCCCTTTACCCTTCGCGGAAGAAAGTCCCCGTAAAGGATCTTCCGCCTTTTGGTAAGTGATTAAATTCGTTTCCTTTTTTGGTGCTATTCACTGTCATGTTTTTTCAGATTAGGGAAAAAAATATTTGTGTTGCATAACTTTGTCTAATATATTTGAGTTTCTCTGTGATTATTATCGTCCAATAAAACTTTAAAGTTAAGTAAACTTCACTTTTGCCAGGTGGAGGAGTTGTTTTTATAAATTGTATCTCGTTTAAACATGCTCATTTGTCATGGCAGGGTATAATGGAGACATTATGCATTTGCTAATTTAATTTTTAATAAGTACAGGAGATGCTTTGTCCATATACATTATTTAAATTAGTTTTGCCTTATGACCAATGAATTGCTGTAATTTAGACAGAATATTTTTAAGTTAAATAATTTGTCTAAAGTTGAATTCTTATTTGTTGAATGACTTATTCAATAACTTGGGGAAAAATATGTAACTTATTCCTGAATGGGGAAGAGCTAAATCATGCTTCATCTTTCCTATTAAAAGTGATGCATCTACTAGTTTAGTCCCTTTATGTAAATTGTACGACAAAATAATGTTTCATAAAATGTACTGCTTTTTTTTCTACCTATATGTGAAAGGAAACAGTGTTAATAAAATGGAATTCCTAAAAATAAACAGATAGCAAAGGTAAAATTGGATGTTGGTAGCTAAGTTCCTGAGCTATTGCAACCTATCCTTGTGAGCTGGGCAAGAGTCCATTAGTAGATCCCTCAGACACTCTATCCTTGCCCCATTCCTCCTGACCAGCAAGTGTCATATTCGTCGAGTTTGGGAAAGTGTGAGAAAAGAACACCTTTCCTTGATGTGTTTTCCCTTTCAAATCTTCTTGTTGCTCCCCCATCACAAACAAACTGAATTGCATCTTTCGTTATCCACTATGTGCTTAAAATGTGTGTATCCTAAATCCCCTGCAGTCTGACTTCTGTCTCCGCGTTTCATGCTGCACTTCTTATGGAAGGTTATCAGTCTTCATTTTAGCTAACAGTAGCCTATTAGCTGGATTTAAGAGAATGTAGGTGTGCCTGAGCATAAAGCTGTATCCCCCATTTTCCCAGAGACTGTCTCTCAAAATGCTTTTAGGTCCATTGGAATTTATGAACTTTAGAAAATGTGGATGAAATATCATATGTTGTCTTATGATGTTTATTTAGCTTAACATAAATACTTAAAGTCACATCATATAAAATATTAATTTAGGGTTTTTCCTCACTCCAATTCTACATCTTTTACATCGGTATCTTTGTCATCACTAGAACCACTTTTGAAGTATCTAACACAGCTTTCTGAGGCGTAGCATCTTCGCACCCATCTACATTGTTTGAAAGATAACACTTTTTGAATCCGCGCATGACACTGGCCTTGGAAATTGTTTCCAAATCAAAAGTGTTCATTTACTTAGATTTACCATAGTTGGTATTTTCATGAATCCTGTGTACGTTACTATTTCTACTTGTAATCAAAGTGTTGCTTTAAAAGTGATTTTTTTTAAAAAAAGATTATATTAAAACAACATCAAACCACTTAATAAGAGGTGAAATGAAGGATTAGGTCTTTGTTAAATTTTATTGACTCCTTTTGAATAGATTCTGTTAAGTCTATGACCAATTAAAACTAGAAGTGATTTGAAGTAGTTTCAGGCTATGGCGCCTTCCCAGCTATCTCTTTGTTGTTCAAAATAAGATAATCAAGAGTACCTCATAATAATATGAAAGCCTTTGTAGAATATTTTAATGTGACTCCCTCATTTCTGAAAAATAAATTTGGGAGCAGGGGGTTTAGCAATCATCTGCATTGGCATATATAATTATTTTTCCCCCACCCACATCCTACTGGATCCTACAGTTGGCACTGGTTCACTTCCTTCTTCTGAAACCTTCTCCCATGGTTTCTGTGACACAGCACTTTCGTGGGGGTCCCTGCCTTCTCTTTCATCTGTTTTTTTGACCAAGTATAATCTGTGTAGCATTCCTTAGAGCTCTTTCATCCACTTTTTCTAGTTTCTGTTATCTCTGGGCCCTTTACTTCTCTCCTGTCATTTCCACTTTCCCTGAACTAACATATCCAATAAGACCAACATATGTTTCCAGCTCAGACTTGAGTTCCAGTAATAAATATTCTTAGCTGTGCCACTTTCATCCTAAATTCAACTGTTTCCAAATCGTCTATTTTTTTCCCTTCATTGTTACCTAAATTGTTGAATAAAGATGGTGACTTAAAGGTTTAGAATCTAATGTAAAATATCAAAAGCAGTCTGTTTCTCATACTGTGGCAGACACCAATCTGAAACCAAACTACAGGTATCTCATGGCTTCTATAAGCTTACTGTTTGGACCATGAAGACAAAGAACATTTAGATTGAAAATAAGTTGAAACTCAATAACACTCAATTATTATTAGTAATAATACTAAATCTTAACACAAAAAAGATTTTTAGTAATTAATGTTTTACTTTTTAGTCTTGAAAATATATATTTAAGTTCTTTTCTTTCTTTTTTAGGCATAAACTCTCCACAAGCTTTAAAGAAAATTCTTTCTTTGTCTGAAGAAGGAAGTTTGGAACGTCACAAGAAACAAGCCGAAGACACGATGTCAAATGCATCATCACAGCTTTCTTCTCCACCTACTTCCCCACAGAGTTCTCCAAGGAAAGGTAGAACTAAATTACTTATTTTTTTTTCCTTTCTCGAAATATGTATACTTCAGGTATAATAAATTCCAGAGTTATGCATAATATAATTTTTAATAATATAAATCTAGTCGTTTAGGATGATCTCTTATCTAATGTCCAATGGATTTTTCTCCCTCCCAGTTTATAAATTTGGAAGAACTTTGGTATTTTTTAATGTTATACTTACAGTATAATGTATTAAGTATATAACTATATAAAACTTTTAAAAAATATGTTTAATTTTGTTGGTTGTAAGTATGAAAAGAATTCTTTTTATATTAAAATTTGTTCTAACTAAATTTGGTTATATATCATTAATACAGAAAAGAGGGATTTAAAAACATTTGAAAAACTAATATCTTCCTGATTTATTTTTTCATTGTATTAACACAGGTCTTGACTACCTTTTTTGTTGCTACCTTGTTTTATTTTTAAAGAGACTTCATTTTAGGCAAAGTCTCCTCCTTATGTTGATACTTTCTCATATTAAAAGAGTAGATAATTTCAAGACTTTCCAGGCTACTTCCTGCTACCTTTTAACTGAGGGGCTGTAGGCTAGTAATACGTGGCTAAGACTTAGTTTTCCCCAGAGGAAGGCCAAATGGGTTCATAAATTGTTAGATTTCACTGACACAATAAATACTGCTCTACTTTGTAGATGTTTCAGACCTCTGTGCGTTTTGTGTGGGTATCAGTCTCTACCATCCTTGCTAAATGGATATATCTAAATTCTTTTCTCATCCTGTTGTCAGGTGGCAGTGGCAATCAGCTGAGATCTTTTGGCTCCGGGCAGTTGGACTTAACCAGTTCCTCCTCTTCTCTTGGAAGTGAGAACAGTAACAAGAATAACAATGCACCACGGACCTATGGGATAGGTGGGGTTTATAGAACCAAAAACAGGGTGGGAAAGAGAGGAATCATCTCATTAGTTAAAGAAAATGGGAGAATTCCTCCAAATGTCAAGTGTTCCATCTGAGTGATTATTTTTCTGGAGATTTTTTTTTGAGCAGACCATTCAGGGAAGGCTTTAAATCTTGTCTGTCAGAACTTGCAGTATGGTTTATAAAAAGACATTTCATAGATGAACACATTAAATCTTATCAAGACCTGTGCAGCCTTTAAAAAATAAATCAGGAATTACCAATTTACTGAAAGGATGGGAGCATACTTAAATTAGAAACATTCAGATGTTATAGATTTAATTTTTTTTTTTTTTAGGTAAGCAGCATTGAAAAATTTTGCATTGCATATAATCATATAAAACCAATGTTTAAGTAACATGAGATCCTTAGTAAAGTAGACAAGAAAAAATGAATATTGAGAAAAAAGATTTAGATTTTCTTCATTAAAAATATTAAGACAGGCCTCTTTCATTGTGACTTTCAAAGTTATTTTTAGTAATGAAGGAGAATTAAGAGTCCTCTCAGGACAAGAAATAGACATCTGTGTAGACACTTTATAGTAATGATCTCGGGGAAGAACGCACATTACATCCGTCAAAACAAAGAGCTTTTATGTGATTCAACTAATATTAATATTGAAAAACCAAATGGCAAAAATTCAAAGACATCTCCATCTCTTACTTCTTATTCTTTTTTTATATGTCCATTTAAAATTATAAGTATAATACAGATACTTCCAGTTCAATTATTCTATGCCATACTTAAAGTTCTAAAAATAGAAAACTCAGTTGAAAATAAGATTACTGGCTTTGTTTGCAGTTTGGAAAAAGCCATACTTTTAAATCTGATCAGTTATTCTTCTTGGTTTCTTTCATATAGACTAATAGTAGTATAATTTATAGCTAGGGAAGCTGAGAATAGTTAAGTAGTGCCATGATTTCTGCATCTTTTCTTAGTTTGTATAACGATGTTTTCCCTTTTCTTCTCTAAATTTTGATTAAGCAACTTAAGCCTCATTATAGTAAAATAATTATCTCTTAGTCACGTGGTCTCTACAAGTAAAATGGGTTTTTTCTCCCCACTTTAATGGTGATATCTATGCCTGCATTTTATTTTGCTTCTATTTGATAGGCTTCCATTTTATGTTACACACCCAGAGTGTCTAATTAATATGGTTGTGTTTCTCACGCAGGCTATACTTTGGCTCCCAGTGGTACTGTGGATAATTTTTCAGATTCTGGTCACAGCGAAATTTCTTCACGATCCAGCATTGTCAGCAATTCTTCTTTTGACTCAGTGCCAGTGTCACTGCATGATGAGAGGCGCCAGAGGCATTCTGTCAGCGTCGTGGAAACAACCCTAGGAGTGGGCAGGATGGAGAGGCGGACCGTGATTGAGCCGGACCAGTACAGCTTGGGGTAGGCGGCTTTACTTGGTGCTCTTGTGCATTCCTCCTTCCATCTCTCTTTCAGTGAAGAGTCCTTTCTTCCAGATACATATTTGTATTTATTTTACATAATGCCTAAGAAATTTGCTCCCATCCCAGTTATGATTGTCACACTTTCTAGACTAAGTACCATGCTATTTTTGTTGCACAGACTGCTTTTTAAAGTTAGATTTATTCTTTATTGGAATACAATTGTTCTGTGCTGAATGCAAAAGGTGACTTCAGGATGTATCCAGTTCCTTTGTATGAGCTGTCTTCCTGAAATAATCAAATTATATTGAGCCATCCTTAGTGTTGTAAAGAAAGAAAATTTTTTTTTTTTAATCATAGCAAATTGTCGCTCTTTTACCCGTGCTTGTTGGGTAGTAATGACAAAGTGAGAAAACCGGACATGGCAGAACTCACCACTATAATGCAATTTGGCGATACTTTCATCCTTTCTGGAATAAAAGAAAGCTACCTTTTTAGGAAAAAAAAACACCACGATATTTTGGTTTTATCATAGGTGAATTAGTTTAACAGTCTTGCTTTTATTTTTTTTCCTTTTTTGTTTCTTTTGACCATTTAGGTCCTATGCACCGATGTCGGAGAGTCGAGGCTTATATGCTACAGCTACAGTAATCTCTTCTCCAAGCACAGAGGAACTTTCCCAAGATCAGGGGGATCGCGCCTCACTCGATGCTGCTGACAGCGGCCGTGGGAGCTGGACGTCGTGCTCAAGTGGTTCCCACGATAACATACAGACGATCCAGCACCAGAGAAGCTGGGAGACGCTCCCATTTGGGCACACTCACTTTGATTATTCAGGGGATCCTACAGGTTTTTGGGCCTCAAGCAGCCATATGGACCAAATCATGTTTTCTGATCATAGCACAAAGCATAACAGGCAAAATCAAAGTAGAGAGAGTCTTGAACAAGCCCAATCCCGGGCAAGCTGGGCATCTTCCACGGGTTACTGGGGAGAAGACTCAGAAGGTGACACGGGCACAATAAAGCGGAGGGGTGGGAAGGACGTTTCCATCGAAGCTGAAAGCAGTAGCATAGCGTCTGTGACCACAGAAGAAACCAAACCTGTTCCCATGCCTGCCCACATAGCTGTGGCGTCAAGTACTGCAAAGGGGCTTATTGGTAAGTTTAAAAATGGAGGGACTTCGTCACGTCTGGATCATGGCTTTAATCTAACTTATTTCAAAAGTAAAATTATATATTTGTGGTTCTTTTCCTTATTTTATCCATTGCTCTGTAGGGCTTCCAAATTAGCAGTGTGTGCAGGATTTTGAAATGAATACTGGGTTTTGTGGTCAGGCACATATAGACATATTCCTACCTAGTATAGCATTCAGTAAATCCTAGCTATCAGGCTCAGTAGATTGTCGCTGTGGCTGTTATCAGGATGGATGCCCCTTCTTCATAGACAAAGAATTTTTCTTTAACTGAAACTGTTTAAATGTTTTATTGTTCTGTTTCTTTCTCTTTGATTGCGTTTAGAACTTTACATTTTGCATATTCAAAAATCTTCCATTGACTTTTGTTATGCAGGCAAGTTGTTTCTGCAATAAACAAATTCTTTCTACACGCTATAGAATGAGGGAGAGCACAGCTTAGGTGTCAGGCAGATTGGGGTTTGAATCTCTGCTTTGCCACTTTACTAGCTTTGTGACATTTGGCAAAGCACTAAAGTGCCTGTTTCCTCATCTGTAAAATGAGCTGAATAATTTCTACTATTAGGGTTATTATTTCTAACTCGACAGGGTTAATGCGAGGATTAAAGGAGTCTATGCAAAGTATTTAGAACAGTGCTGGATAGTAAATCGATAAGTACATGGAAGATACTGCTGCTGTTTCTGTTAAAAGCTCTCATGTACCCTCGGTCCTGCCGGGATGTATTTTCTATGGCATGTTTAACATCACTACAGTTGAAGTGTAGGAATAAATTATAGGATATAGAGTGACAAATTCTGAAATATAATCATTACAGACATTATTTTTGTGAGGGAAATTGTAGTTATTTTGCCGTGTAAATAGTCATAGGAAAATGTCAAATTTAATACCTTTTTAAGCTGAGTAAGAAGAAAACCGTACGTGTTCTTAGGTTGAACTCTTCCAAGTGCTTTCTCATAACAAACTAATACTTAGAATTTTTATTGTGAAGAAAGGAAGAGTGATTTTCAGTTTCTAACAGTTGAATCTAGAAAGTTGAAGAAACTAAAGCTTTAGTGTTACTTGCCTTTGCAGATTTCATATTCTAGGTCATGAGCATCAATAAAAGGATTTTAAGAAAACTAAGTACCTATGGTTTTAGAGCTTTTAAATTAGTATCCTTTGTGCTACATTTTCAAATCTATTTTAATTCACTGTTTGAAAATAATATGGAGTGGACTTTCTGCCTGACAGAAGGAAATGCCCAGCAAAGATGGAGTGGCCACCTTGTGTCTGGGGCAGGGAGAGGGAAAGAAAGGGAACTTTCACCGCAGTGCTGACATGTTTCCGGCATAGCCCAGGAGTTCGAGGTTGCCCTGAGCTGTAATTGAACCACTGGGCTCCAGCCCACCGCACAGAGTGAGACCCTGTCTCAAAAAGGAAAAATAAAACAAAGAAAAAGGAAAAAAATACTTAGATTTCTTAGTAGTTTCTCTCGCCAATTACTTAATCACTCAGTGAGCCATCATGAGTATTTGTTTTGGTTACTTCCATGCCCTGCCACGCACCCACACTTCTGTTCCATACCACACAAAATCGCATTTGCTACTATGCCATTTACTGTTTTAATAATTATATTTTTAATAAACATTTGTGGCATGAAACAGTCTACAAAATTTTTAACGGCTGGCATATTGTTTCTGCCATAGCACGAAAGGAGGGCAGGTATCGAGAGCCCCCGCCCACGCCGCCGGGCTACGTTGGAATCCCCATCGCTGACTTTCCAGAAGGGCATTCTCATCCAGCCAGGAAACCTCCGGACTACAACGTGGCGCTTCAGAGGTCTCGGATGATCGCCAGACCCTCCGACGCAGCTGGGCCTTCGCCGGCACAGCCCCCGCATGGGCCCCCGACGAGCAGCAGGCCCGCGAACAAACCGCAGTGGCACAGACCCAGCGAGTCCGACCCGCGCCTCGCCCCCTACCAGTCGCAAGGCTTTTCCGCGGAGGAGGACGGTACATACACATACATGTATTCTTAAAAGCTTCCACTTGGCTGTGCTCACTTACGCTGCCTGTGAGCTTTCCAGGGCGTCTCTGTTTTCTTAATACTGTGGTCAGCTGTGTCTGTGTCTCCATGCACTACACAAAGATCACTTTATACTCAGAGTTCCAAATTTAGGGTTAGAGCTTCTGACTGCTTTCTATGTGTGTGTGTGTGTGCTTGTGTTTTTCCCTGACTGGCTTAAGAAATGCCAAAGATTTCAGAGGGGATCACTTTTAATAAAGTGTGTACCTGGCTGGATTTTTTTTCTAATTCTCACCAAAATTGAAGTACTTTTGTGGCCCTATTTTAAGGAAACGAATACAAATTTCACAAGTTTGTGTTATTTTCAAGCATTTTTAGAAACATCATGAGCTGTCAAATATGGATGGTTAAATTTTTCTGTAGAATCATTACATTTGGACTCTTAATAAATTGGGGCTCATGCCAGACACAGCGGCTCACGCCTGTAATCCTAGCACTCTGGGAGGCTGAGGTGGGAGGATCACCTGAGCCCAGGAGTTTGAGGCTGCAGTGAGCTATGATCACGCCACTGTACTTTAGCCATGGCTAAGAGCAAGGCGCCGTCTCAAAAAAAAAAAAAAAAAAAAGCTGGGACTCATTTGGAAATGAAAGTCTGATAAAGAAATATACTTTCTCTCTGGCTTTTTTGCCTTTTCTCTACAAATCTACCTGGACATACTGGATTGAGGATGAGAGGGAAGATCATGTCCCCCACCCCTCTTCTTTAAGTTTTCAGTTTAACATGTTTTATTACACAGTCATTGTAGAAAAAGCAAAACATTATAAAATTACTTATAATCCTACCACTTGCAGATAGTCATTATTAACATTTTGTTATATCCTTCTAGACTTTTTAATGTGTATCTGACTGTATGTTGTTTTTTAAAAAGGCACATACACTTTTTTAATAACAGCTGTATTGAGATAAATTCATAGACTATTCACCCGTAAAAAGCACATAGTTTTTAATATTGAAACTATATTCTGAAATGTATGAAGACAAACCAAGAGTTACATAACAATAAATTTTATTTGATATGGTTGAATTAATAATATAAACACTATCAGCTTATGTATAATCATAAAATGCCACTTCATCTGGTATCTACTAAAATGTCGATGATAGTTTACTACCTTCCAGAGAGGCTGTCTGTACAAACCTAACTTTGACTTAACTAAGTAACTAGCATGAACTGTCAGAGTTAAAAGCCACGAGCTTATTGTGAAAGTATTAAGACTTTTCAATACTCTGATGAGCTGTATATTTTAAAATTTGTAAAAGGACATGATTTTCATAATTCTAGGTCTACAGTTAGCAACTGGGGGTGATTTTGTCTTTCGGGGATCCTTGACAATATGTGGATATGTTTTTGGTTGTCACAGCTTGGGGTGGGGGTGCTACAAAACATTTTGCAATGCCTGCCCAGGAAAAGCACATGGTATTTTAGTTTTTTCCAGTGAATTTATTATTAATAACTTTCTGACCAAAAAATATATAAAATATACGTTTTTAATATTATATATTTTAAATATATGCATTGTATATACATTTCTAACATTTTTGTGGTGTCAATCATCGCCTGAGGAAAAAAGACAAGGAATTTAAATGCACTATACTAAAAAGAATAGCTACAATGTTTTTATTTAGCACATCAGTGAATATATTCTCTATAGCACAAGAAATTATTTGCTTGTTCATTGATTTTTCGCCCCCTCTTCCTTGCTGTATTTGCAGAAGATGAACAAGTATCTGCTGTTTGAGGCACAGGCGAGCCACCTACAAGGAGAGGACACGAAGACGTCCCTAGCATTGGAGCCTTGGAACTCACATTCTGAGGATGGTGGACCAGTTTGCCTCCTTCCCTGCCTTAAAAGCAGCATGGGGCTTCTCCCCTTCTTCCCTTCCCCTTTGCATGTGAAATACTGTGAAGAAATTGCCCTGGCACTTTTCAGACTTTGTTGCTTGAAATGCACAGTGCAGCAATCTTCAAGCTCCCGCTGTTGCTGCCTGCCACATCACACAATATCATTCCAAATTCCAAGATCATCACGACGAGATGATTCACTCTGGCTGCACTTCTCAATGCCTGGAAGGATTTTTAAAAATCTTCCTTTTAGATTTCAATCCAGTCCTAGCACTTGGTCTCATTGGGATAATGAGAAAAGCTAGCCATTGAACTACTTGGGGCCTTTAACCCACCGAGGAAGACAAAGAAAAACAATGAAATCCTTTGAGCACAGTGCTTGTCCACTTGTTTACAATGTCCTCCTTTTTTAAAAAAAAAAATGAGTTTAAAGATTGTGTTTAGAGAGTAAATGTTTTATCCATTTAATGATTACAGTATTATTTTGAACCTTAAGTAGGGTTGCCAGCCTGGTTTCTAAAAAACCAAATATGCCGGACAGGGTGTGGCCGCACCAGGAAGTGGGGAAGGCCTGGCTTGTGACCCTGTCTTCCCACGTCCTTCTGGCCTCACCCATGAAGTGCCCTATCCTGGAAGTATAAAATGTTAGCCAATTTCTCGAATACCAAGACACCTCATCTGCTCCTTCCCCAGCGGGTGGGGTTCTGTAAAACTGTTTGCACATGGCCAGGGGAGGGAAAAAGGACTCTCATGTCCTGTCTGAGCCTTATGGAGGCAGGACAGTGTCATTTGAAGGGCGTGTCCTGCTCCATTGAGATGGATGGCAAACCCCGTTTTTAAGTTATGTTTCTTTGATTTTTGTTAATTTAGAGTTTTAGTTGTGTTTTGTTTTTTTTTTTTTTAAGAAACATTTATAACTGGACAGCATTGCAGTGAAAGCAGCTTGGGATGTTGGAGCTAATGCCAGCTGTTTATACTGCTCTTTCAAGACAGCCTCCCTTTACTGAATTGGCATTAGGGAATAAACAAGCCTTTAAACGTGATAAAAGATCAAAAACCTAGTTAGATATGCCAGCCTTTGCAAGGCAGGTTAGTCACCAAAGACTAACCTCCAAATGGCTTTATGGACACTGACTATAGAGAGGCCTAAGTGTAGCAACCATCTGCTCACAGCTGCTATTAACCCTATATTGACTGAAAATGACCCCTCCACTCTATTTTTGTGTTGTTTTTGCACAGACTCCGGAAAAGTGAAGGCTGCCAATCTGAGTAGTACTCAAATGTGAGGAACTGCTGGTCTTGGATTTTTTTTCCATTAAATTCAGCTGATCATATTGATCAGTAGATAAACGTAAATAGCTTCAAATTTTAAAAGTGGAATTGCAGTGTTTTTTCACTGTATCAAACAATGTCAGTGCTTTATTTAATAATTCTCTTCTGTACCATGGCATTTGTCTACTTGCTTATATATTACATTGTCAATTATGCATTTGTAATTTTACATGTAATATGCATTATTTGCCAGTTTTATTATATAGGCTATGGACCTCATGTGCATATAGAAAGACAGAAATCTAGCTCTACCACAAGTTGCACAAATGTTACCTAAGCATTAAGTAATTGTAGAACATAGGACTGCTAATCTCAGTTCGCTCTGTGATGTCAAGTGCAGAATGTACAATTAACTGGTGATTTCCTCATACTTTTGATACTACTTGTACCTGTATGTCTTTTAGAAAGACATTGGTGGAGTCTGTATCCCTTTTGTATTTTTAATACAATAATTGTACATATTGGTTATATTTTTGTTGAAGATGGTAGAAATGTACTATGTTTATGCTTCTACATCCAGTTTGTACAAGCTGGAAAATAAATAAATATAACAGAAAGCCTTGCCTATATTCTTAATGAATCATGCATGCTTTTTATTATTGAAGTGGACTAGAGGCCTTTGGTTTCACTGCAAAAGCAAGTCCTCAGGAGGTCAGAAGAGATTTAGCCTCTTGGTTGGTAGAAACTGCCCAAAGCCTATTTGTAATATTTTGTGTAGCTTTCTGTTGATTCAAAGAAATATCATTAATATTACCACCGGCCAAACCATATTCAGAATTCAGTGTTTCTTGAGGTTCAGTGAAAAGTAAAGATGGTATCACAATACATTTATATAACTTTTGTCTTTTCTCAACCTTTTTCCAGTAACAGTCTCTGTGGGATATAATATTTTGATTCCCAGTATATATACTGAGAAATAGGACCTCAGAGATCTTAAACTGACATTCCAGGTCATGAACACTAAGAGTACCATTTAGCTAATGATTCTAGACTTCTAATTAGTACATGCTATTGTTATGTCTATGAGTGCTCATGTGTGGTAAGTCTGAATAATATTTCAGTCTATCAAAAGGGCAGTTATATTTAAAAAGGTAAAAGTCAGGTAGCAGCCTGTATAAGCACATTTTGAAATCAATGACTCATTTCTTATCCTCAAGCAGGCATGACGAAAAGTATTATCCATCAATCGCTGGGAAGTCCAAGAAGATGGAGTGGAAGGATATGGAAACACTTGCACAAAACGTTAGAGAACGTCAGGGACTCTAACAAGGAGTCAAGAGAAAGGTCCTCCTGACACTAAAGCAAAGATGCCCATTGACCAGACTTAAACATCTTTCTGCAGCATTTGTGCTATTTAGCTGAGTAAATTTTGAAAATCTGGCCACCAAAACAGTTTAGAGAATTAAAAAAAAAAAAAGTTACCATTCCAGTAGCTTCAACTGTACTCATTAAAAAGTGAAGTTACTAGGTCGGGTGTGGTGGTCACACCTGTAATCCTAGTATTCTGGGAGGCCAAGGCAGGAGGATCGCTTGAGCTCAGGAGTTGGAGACCAAGCTGTATCTACTAAAAACAGAAAAATTAGCCAGGGGCAGTGTCATGCAACTGTAAATCCCGGCCACTGGGGAGGCTGAAGCAAGAGAATGTCTTGAGCCCCAGAGTTAGAGTCTGCATTGAACTATGATGATGCCACTGTACTCCACCTGGGGCAACAGAGTGAAGCTCTGTCTCAAAAAAAAAAAAAAAAAATGAAGTTACTGTATATATACATGTGTTGTTGTATGTTCACCTCTATCATCTTTTCATTATAAAACTAATTACTCAGGGACTCCTCTATAATGTCCTTCAAAAAGTTTAATTTTCTCAAAAAATACTAAGAATCTGATGTTTTGGAGAATAATCTCTTCATCATCACTTATATTCTGCTAAAAATACGAGACTACAACAAATCAGCCATGAGTTATCCTTTTTTTTTTTGAGACAGAGTCTCGCTTTGTTGCCCTGGCTAGAGTGAGTGCCGTGGCGTCAGCCTAGCTCACAGCAACCTCAAACTCCTGGGCTCAAGCGATCCTTCTGCCTCAGCCTCCCGGGTAGCTGGGACTACAGGCATGTGCCACCATGCCCGGCTAATTTTTTCTCTATATATATATTTTTAGTTGTCCAGATCATTTCTTTCTATTTTTTGGTAGAGACGGGTCTCGCTCTTGCTCAGGCTGGTCTCAAACTCCTGACCTTGAGCGATCCACCCACCTCGGCCTCCCAGAGTGCTAGGATTACAGGCGTGAGCCACCGCGCCCAGCCCATGGGTTATCCTTTGATGTTATTAAATTATTACCCTTTTATGTTTTAGGCTAATTCTATGTAGCACAAGATTTGTCTCCAGGGTTTCAAGAAATAAGTATTTGTCAGATGTAAACAATAGCAGTGACAGTTTAATCTGTGTCGTGTTAATAATAGAACTCTGCTAAAGCAGTTTTAGGAATTTGTAGAAGGTTTTGGTGAACATCTGATGTTCTTCACCCTAATCAAAGAGGCCAAACAGATGTGCATCTGTGTTTAATACATACTGGTTAAAGCCCTCTGAATATTTTTCTCAGTTTCAATTCATTTCCCTGCTGTTGAGAGGTGTAGATTTTATGGTCATCTACAGTTTAATACATTTTATCTCCAGTTCACTGATACTATCTCAAAATATTCTTGAACGATGCAAGCCTGTGAAGATGTGTGTATCAACACAAGTACGAAGTCTGTATTTCTCAATGCCAATGCACTACGTTCATGCCAAAGAAAATTAGGAAGCTCCCTGAGTCCTTGATCCCATAATATTCCATGATCCTGTTCTTTAAAAATAACTTACTTGGAGAATAAAGGTAGGGTAGCAACTGAGGAGTCAAGTTGTTGATTTGAGAGGTAAACGATTTTGTGAATATTCACTAAATATTTCAGCAAAGATTGTTGAAAGCAATAATAAAATGGAAACGTGTAGGGCAGACTGCAACCGATGCCAACGTGACAATTTTAAGAAAGATTTTTAAATGAATAAGAATTTATCTGTTTGAGGGTGAAAAACATTGAAATTGAAATATCATTTATGAATTGCACTTTTTCTAACATCACCTTTTAGCCAAGTACAAAGCAAGCACACTAAAATTCTTGCCTATGTTTGAGATTGTACTTATTGTCCAGCTAGTTTTTACAATGCCATGGCTACACAACAGAAAAATTTAAAGAGGTGATCAAAATATTACATGTAAGATTAAATCCTAAAAAGAGCTTTATTCCATCTGCAATCAATATTATAACAATTTTTAGTACGGGAAAAATGTCTAAGCCTAGAATATCCGAATTAAATTTAGAGTCAAATGACCAATTTTACATAGAGGAGATAAAAGTGAAAACAAATTCAGTTCTACGTGTTCAACACCTCAAAATTAAAAGCTAGCTTCATTTTTTTCTACAGATAATTTAATAAAATTTAAGAAACTTTTAAGAATATTAACTATCTGATCTAACAGTGAGCAGTGGACAAATGCCAGTGTGGTCAGATGGGAATCAATGAAGTAACAGTATCTCAGAATATTTGAGGTTTTCTTTATATAGCTTGGAACTTTTTTTCCCAAATAACTATAAAATTGGTTTAGGATCAAGCCAGTGTCACAATTGGCATTAAGATGAAAATATATATAATACTTCTAGATATAGTTTAGTGAGCTAATTTCATTCATATTGTGCACTTTTAGTAAAATATTTACAGATTTTACTAAAGTGAACTGAGGCACCTTCAAGTTACATGTCCTATTTTAGAGGAGTATCTCCCATATCTCACCCCTGGGTGGGAAACCCTACTAAGTGATCCACATCCTTGATCATGACTGGATCAAAGGATATGCCTGGCCCAGGAGGTGCCAATATAGGCTTGCCAGTGATCTGCAAGAGGATTCTGGAATGAGTGCTGTGACCAACCAGTAGGAAAAGAAACAAACTCATCACATTCTCTTTGGAGAATTTCTGTGCAAAGGCAAAAAAAAAGCAAAGACATACTAAAAAAATGAGTATTCAGAAGCCAGGAGACCAGAGAAGCAATGAGTTACAGAAATCATGAGCAAGAAGGGGTCTATGAAGTCAGGAGATTGACTCATCAAAGGCAGAAGTAGTGTTAAAAGCTAAAGTGCAACAGACACTTGTTTCTTACAGAGCAAACAATCTGTTTTCAATGTATCTGAATATAATATCTAGTCTTACAGCAACTCCCTGAAGCTTGGCTCTGTGAAATGTTCTTCATGAGACCAGATGGACAGCCATTCTCATTTTTGGTATATACACTTAATAACCATTCTATTCACAGCATCTAGAAATAGTGCCTGGGATATTGTAAAGGTTTATTTTTTTGTTTTTTTTTTGAGACAGAGTCTCACTGTGTTGCCTGGGCTAGAGTGCCGTGGCGTCATCCTAGCTCACAGCAACCTCAAACTCCTGGGCTCAAGCGATCCTCCTGCCTCAGCCTCCCGAGTAGCTGGGACTACAGGCATGCGCCACCATGCCCGGCTAATTTTTTCTATGTATTTTTAGTTGTCCAATTAATTTCTTTCTCTTTTTAGTAGAGACGGGGTCTTGCTCTTGCTCAGGCTGGTCTCAAACTCCTGAGCTCAAACAATCGGCCCGCCTCGGCCTCCTAGAGAGCTAGGATTACAGGCGTGAGCCACCACGCCCGGCCGTTGTAAAGGTTTTTAATAAGTGAAGATCATATCAAGCAACCTAAAGGGCCCAAATTCTACACATAAATTGGACACTCAAAACGAGTCAAAATGCCTTTATTAAGGGATATCTATAACTTTGTGCTCAGACTGGTGAATATTCAGAAGTGAAATAAATGACTCTTAACCAGGTTAGCAAGGATTTAAGATTAACTAAGAAGGAGCAAGGGATAAAAGAGTTCAGTTTTGTGTGGCTACAAGTCCAGAGAGGTCCAAGATCAGTGAAGACTGCAGTGTCCCTAAGAAGAGGTGTCCGCTATAGCTGAGGTATCACTGGAACACGAGGTGAAAAAGGCCAGGGGCAGTGGCACTGACATGGCTGAGGGACACTGAGAAGTCAGGCCCCATTTGATGGGGCATCATGATTAGGACATACTGAGAAATTGGTTTGGATGAGTAGAGGAGTGTGAGATTACATGGAACGAAAAATTTTTACAGAGTTCATAATTGTTCATTTTAGGGGCTCACTAAATGCTTATAAAAAAGAAAAAGGGAAAGAGGTGAAGAGAGACAGTATCTTTGGTGAGACAATGGTGTGAAAGGATGATGTGATTGGCAGGAGTGGGCAGGATGTGGGCTGAGGTGAGGGCAAGGTAGTTAGCTAGGAAATGCTGCTATATTCCAGGCCTGGACCAGTGAAGTTCTGCAAAATGTGATGTCAAGGGTGTAGAGAAGAACAAAGGCGATGCAAAGGACAAAAAAATCAATAGAATCTGGTATCTTATAGGACATGAGAAATTAAAAATTTAAGCCAAAATTTAAAAAGACTAAAAATTGCTACTCTGAGTGCTTAACATAAAA